TATAAATTCGAAAATTATCTAAGATACAGTAATCTAAAGTGCGAAAAATATGATTGTTCTCGAAGTAAAAAAAAATGTATAAAATGCATATTATTAGGTAGGCAAGATTATCTTTATTAATATTTTTTCTCATAAAAAAGTAGTAAAATATCTTCATATTTAAAGTACCCATTTCGGAAGATCGCGTGATAAATGGAGGAGAGAGATAATTAAAAATGATTTGTTATTGACGTGTCACGTGTATAATTTTTAATAGTACTTAATTTGTATTTAATAATACACAATTGGGCCATCTGTAAAAAAAAAAAATGTTCCCTTTATTTAATAAGTAATAATTAACTTTTGACCACTTCTTTCTACTTCTCTACCACGTGACCTTCAGGAAAAATGAACTTAAAAGTGAAAGAATTTTACCAATGTTTTATTAGGAAAAAATGATTAGTTAAAAAAAAAAAAACAAAAAACTGCTAACTGTATTATAACAATTATTTAAAAATTGTTAAAAATCACATTGTTTAGTTTTAAATGGCTGTCAGTATTTCATGCTTTTTTTGAGATAGAAAAAAATAATAGAATCAAAATTGTTTGAACAAATAAGACTTTTCGAAATTAGTATGTATTAAAAATAGAGAGATTTTAGTTTTAAAAAAATAAGCTTTATTAAGCAATGGCTGATATTTTAAAAATAAACTCAAAGTGTGTATTTTGGAATCCCCATTTTTTCTAAAAAAAACACTATTTAAATCTAAGTCTATCTGGTAGAAATTTTTTGTATAATTTGTATATTAATTGTGTGATACACACTGTATATAAGTATATTATTATTGTAGTCGAAAAAATCATTTTAATTATTACTTATTTTATTTATTGAATCATTTAATGATATTGTAATATCAGCCATCCCCTCGTCACACACACGTGATTATATAGTTACGTACTCATTTCGATAACACGTGCAGCGATTAAAAATCCATTTTTGTTTTTAAAAATAAAACAAGCATCATGACGACCTGAATCTGTATTATGTAAAAAAATTAAATTTAAACTCCTATGGAAACGACTAAAGGTAGGCGACTAACCTAAAAACCTAATCTCATGGACATTTATTAAGGAAACATGTCCTCTCTGGCTTTTCCCTACTTACATATGACATGTTAACAGTTATCACTGAAAAATATAATTAACAAATAATACATTGTCCCATTTTGGATTTATGAAAATGAACGCTTTTGCCTAACTTATCTGCAGTAGGTACTTATTGAATAATTCACTCAGAAAGCTTGATTGTGTTTTGTTGTCAATAGATTTCAAATAATTATAAAAACTTATGCATTGCATTACATTTACCTTTTATTTTTTAACACTTAAAACAAAAAAAAAAAAATGTAGTTAAGTAATAACTATAATAATATAATATCTAAAATTATGAGATTATTTCTTATCATCACACCACTTTTGCAAAGTATAATAGCAGATTAAACTAATGTAAAATTTATGTTCTGGCAATTCATACTTTAATCTGTAAAATTATCTGAACCATTTGACGGAATTTACTCATTTAGTCCTATGTATAATTATATTTTGAAATTCGAAGTAAATAAGGTGATTCATTAACTTTTATCCCGAAGATTTTAATAAATTTGGAACTCGTGTAGCAGGTGATCGCCCACTTATTTTTAAGTGAATAGCTTACTGATGATCTTTTTTTTTCTAATATACCTATTATGAGAATTTTACTTGACGGTATGGTCTCAATGACCGAGAGTCAAAATAAGAAGAACATATACCTATTATATGCAACTGAAACTTTTACAGTCAATTACGAGTATCTTGGAACTAATAATAATCATGAACTTTTATCGCATTTTATTGAAACATGAAGTCGTAATTAGAATATTTCTGATAATATGACGTACCTAATGTACAAGTACCAACCTAGTGAAAAAATATAAAACGATATAAATAATTGTATTTAATCATTTGAATATATAATAATAATTTTTTTTTGTAGGAGGGGATCAGAATACTGCCACGGTATCGTAACTTGTCGCAAAAGGCCATAAATAAGGTTACATTAGGTCGTCAGCCGATGTAAAATTCTGTAAAACAAGATGAAGAGTGTTTTTTGGACGGCCTCAAATAGTTGGGATGAAGGCGAAGGAGAGAAGAATAATGTATAACAATAATATAAATAGTTAATTATTTATTTACGACTGATGTAAGTGATATAAATAATTTTCATTTTGATTAATTTTTTTAAATATATACCTACTGGCTCTTATATAATCTATAAATAATATATAAATTAAAAGCTAAATACGACTCACTCACTGATCACTATATCACAAAATTACACAACTCACGAACTTGAAATTTGAAATAGATGTTCCTCTAATAATCTAAATGTGCAATAAGAAAGGATTTTAAGAAATGTTGCGTTAATAATAATAAGTAGATTAATAATTCATCGCCAATACGTTATTTTTAACAATCCAGTTAGATATTAATTTTTAAAATAATCAGCAAATAAGCACATAAAAGTATATAAAGGTATTATTTATTTATTTTTATGGATTACCATAGTAACAATGATGAAATAAAAACAAATTTAGAGGTTGATAATATGGATGAAAAAAAAAACTAAGGGAAGTATAAAATAATGTTAAAAATATTTTTCGTTAAAAAACTGTCCACAGGTGAAGCCAGGTAATACAGCTAGTATAATCAAATACAATAATTACAAAAATTTTTCATATTTGTACTGAATTTTCACTGAAAATAGAGTTTAGGGATCCAAGATTCTGCCGGGGTACACTACGAGGAAGCAAATTAATATTACACCTCACCTCCTCAAATGAAGCCAGAGGGATACAAATTTGTATATATGCATTGTTTAAGTATCGAGAACGTGTGATTTTGGAGTTTTAACTTGTAACATCTCCGCAACCATTTATAAACTCAAATTTCATTTTTTCACAAGAAAATACCTTTTAGGGTTTTAAATACTCATAGGTTTAAATACCCTTAGAAATTTAAATGTCATATAACTTTGACAACTATAATTATTTTAGATCCTAAACGGAACAAGGAATGTATTAGTTTTATAATGATGTTTATTTTTTTTTTATGTGAACATTTTTTTACCAGAAAGCTTACTACGATTATCAAATATAGCACCTTTTCTGAAAGAAAATGTTCTCTGGATGGTATTTAAAATAGGCCATTTTTTGAAATTTTCATTAATATTCGAGTAATGATATTACTGATGAGGAAAACCTGGTTTTTTAGGTTAAAAAAGATTGATAGATTAAAAATAATGTTGTCATTGACAATCGTTTTTATCTATTTTTGTTATTATTAAGTTTTTATTATTTTAAAATTTTTTAAATAATCCTTGTAATCATTTTACCATAATATGACATATAAATTGTTGACAAAGCAATACTATCAACTGAATTACGCTCAGAATCGTTTTTTCGTTAGCAATGATTTATTATTGCTTACAGATATACATTGAATTTCCGTCTGTATCCTACCTTCCCAACACTCCACCTATAACAATGGCTGTACCCATGTGCGAAGTATGTCCGTCCTTTTTTTAATGTAAAAATGAAATATTGTATTGACGACAAGATGGCTGAGGAAAATTTTTACTTTAATGACCCTGCCATGAATCTTTTTTTTTTATTTTAATATATTTAATTTAAAAATTAATTGGCGGACCGCTAACTTCGAATTGGTAGATAATAAACGAATGTCATAAATATAATTTGTATTAGTACCCATTTAGAACATTATTTTGTGATCATGTCAACGTTTAATATCTATACGTGCAGTTTTAAACATTTCCTTTCCACCTGTTTTCGCATGCGTAGACACGATGGCGTGATTATTATTATTATTGATACATTTTAAATTATTAAACAAACATTTCATTTTGAATACTTTGGTAATACATCTAATTTAAAGTAGGTAGTACCATTACTTACTTAAAATATCGCTATACAATTATTCCTTTTAATCTGTCACTGTATAGGCCGTCTTCCCCGTTTCTCATTTTATATGATTCTTATTTAAAAAACTATAAAAACATTGTGTCTTGCGAAAGCTTAGTTCACAGGAAAAAAAATGCCCGTGAGCGGCAGTGCTCAGTTACTAAAATCAATTTTTTTCTCATTTTGTAAAATAGAAATAAGAAATATTTTTTGGTAAATAATAAATGACCGAAAACTATAATAATACAATACTAATTTACTACGTTACAATAATAATTGTAGTATAACAATTATTACTATGCTGTAATCTTCCAAAGAAATGATGAAAATTGATCATAAAAATGGTAGGATGAGCAGGTTAAAAACCCCAAAATCCATATGATTGATATTAAAGTTATACATAATTTGACCCCCTTGGCTTTATTTGCAGACGTATAGGGGCGTAAAAAGCTAAAAAAAAAAACACTTTTCATCCGCAACAATATCAATATTTAATTCAATAAAAAAATTTAAATCCAATACAACTTTTATCATTTCAATCTGTCTACAAAACAATCCTAATTTCCAAGTTTCAGCTTATTTGGTCTTGAGGAAGCTACTAGGTCTATCCAAAAGTAGCGGCAAAAAGATGTATAATATAACAGATACAAACACACAGTACAATGCAATATTCTCTATTTTTGGAGAAAATTAACAAAAATAAATGTATAAGTATTCTACTTGTACTCAAAATAAACAATAATTATTATTATTATCGTCGTGCGTTTATATTACATGGTAGATATGGTTGTTTTTTCAGCTTTATGTTATTGTTCTGACACTAATAATTAATATAATATTTTTTAGTGTAGACATCATGTAAATAGAAATATCGTAATTGTTATAATATTGTCACGTATAAAAGCCCATAGGGGGGGGGGAATAGAATTTCTCGTCTATCTTAAGTGTCGTATTTCGAGTACCCGCGGGGGCCAATAAGGCACGGACCTGGGTAGTCGTGTGCAGATAACGCTCAACATCGACGTCCGGTTGTCTACACTTAACTCAATAACAAACAGCAGGTATGCAATAAATTTAAAAAAAACATACAATTTTTTTACCGTTGATATTAATATAGTTTACACGTACCTATACTTTATTATATCAAATCCAAATTATATGTATAGTTGTCACTAATTTAGTGTATTATAATATTATATCACCATATTTGTATAAATAGTCTGAATATTCGTTTTATGTAACATTACGACGTATAACATTATGATACCATTGATACCCATAAATATTATATAATAGGTATTACGTACTTACCTATATCGCCGAGTACTCGTGTGCAATATTATTGTTTTTAAAATTGTATGCGTTTCGTAATTATGATGTACACGATTTACACTTAATTATTTATAATTATATAAAATAATATACATATATTATATTATACATATAATGGGAATGAATATTTCAAGTGATAGGCAATACCGAACTATTCGATATTTAATCGCATTCGAATATTCAATAGATCAAAAACTATTCCATTGTAGAAAAACCTAAAACCTATTCGGATAGTTTTTCGAAAAATTTGATGGTTTTCCTGAATAAATCTATTGAGCCGTGGAAAAAAATATTCGAATGAAACATTTGATAGTACGTCCAAACTACCGAAAACTATTAATAGTATAAATTGTTGTTCGGAAGTATCCATCACTTATTGTTTCTCTGTGGTAATTATTTATATTACCATATATATTATATATTTATATTACTATTATAATATTATAATACTATGAATTTTATTGTAGGTTAATAAAATTAAAGTGTAAAGGTGAACAGAATAATAATTTGGTCACTATTCGTTTAATATAATATGTTTACCTTCTGATAGAATTATTATAAACCAGGTTACAATAACGTGGTCTATGAATATATTGGTTGTTTGTACAGCGTTCTGATTGTAGTTCATTATTCGTGCGGCACAATAAATAGTAGAAGCCGCTTATTAGGAACACGGATAATTGATACAATTTCGTTATTGAAACAAAATGTGTAAGGATGGATCGTTCGTATATTAAAACAATCGTATATCAAAACCAATCCTTTATTAGAAATAATCGGTTAATTGACACGTTTCACCACTTTAATAATAATATACAAATTGGGGTATCCTTGAAAGTTGTTTTCCGATGTCAAGGATAATTACTATTAATACAATATATATTTGCATAGGCCGAATTACTATCAATTTAGGCATATCTGATATCCCGCAACAATTATAATAATAATATTAATAATTTTAAATGTACACAATTTTAGTTGAGTATTGTGTATTGTAGGATGGTATAGCTATTAAGATTTAAGATTCCGAGAGTAACGAAGGAGTTATTGGTTTTACAATGCTGTTTATTTTTATTTTTTCTCTGTTCTAGTCTGTGGATACGTTTTTTCAAAGTATACTTGCTCTGATTTTTACGCGTAGTAACTTTTCTGAAAGCTCAAGTTGTCTAAATTGTACTTTAAGATGTAATTTTTTGATTTTTAATGCCTTTTTTTAAATAAAAGCACTTAAGTGGGAAAAAACGTAGGAAAACGTACAATTTCACAATTTCATTACTTTATAAAAACACGGACAACGTTTTCTACCAGAAAAAAATGATTAAATCGAAAAATCACAAGATACCTTTATAAGATTTATTGCTTTTTTGATTTAATTTCTTAGGGTATCATCGCTAAAACTTTTGAGCCACTTTAGAGCTTTTAAGGAATTTAAATTTTTGGGAGTTTTTGTGCTGTAATTCGGTTATAAATACACGAAGAAACTTGAAACTTGATAATAATACTTATATTGGATTTATCTAGACGTGGTAAAATTTCCAAAATCATCGGACGAATTTTTTTATTTTTAATAAGCGTTTTGAAATCAAATTTAAACAAAAATCACCAAAAAAAAATACGGCACTTCAAATTATGTACTTCCAAACTGCGCTCGGAATCGTCTTTAGTCAAGCATTGGTTTATCGTTACTTACAGATATAAATGAAATAACCTTATGTATCCTACTTTTCCAACTTCTCACATACAACAGTGGCCGCTTTCATCCCCAGTATCAGCTCTTTTTTCATTTTTGGACTAATGCGTAAGTATATACTATTCTAGGAACTAAATGCGTTTCAAAAGGTTATTTTTTATGGATATAAAATAGTTCGCTTTATTGAATTCGATGAAAATAAATCGATTACATTTTGGTACCATATACAGTGTTAAAAATAAAATTATAATCATTAACTAGCTAATATGGTATTGGACAGTATTTACTATTTAACCACGAATTAATATTTTGACATATTATGTAATTATAATAATATTGTGTGGTTCATTCAACTGGACATACATTTAGATGCCATTTAATTCAATATTTTTTGCTTCTGACAGATATTATATTTTGTTTTATATAGTAATACGAAATAAACTACTTATTGTTTTCTTGCATTTTATCATATTGTACAACGCACTCGAATACTATATCTGCAGAAGGTACTTTGCAGTCTGTTGAATTAAATAAAATACAGGTTTTGATAAATTTTAAACTGTAAGCCGTAGGATTCTATATTATTTTTTTATCCATCGAAACGGTTGAATATTTGTGTTTATTTTTGTGTTTTAAATATAATATACGAATAAAGAACGTTACTTGGGTCGTAAATACGAACCTACTATACGGATCAAGATCAGAATTGTAGAAAATGATTAACCGCGAAAGAATTAATGTTTAATAGTCGAAAAGAATACAATTTCAACATTATGTAGCTACGTATAGTATATTAAATTATGTTTTTTTCAATAAAAAAAAGTCAGATAATTATAAAATAAATGTAAGCCTGTTCCGTTCAAAGTACTTCCACATAAAAGCAGTAGCATGTTTAAACCATATGTCAGTCCGGTAATTTTAATGAGTTTTAAGAAAACAAAAATATTAAAAGAGTTTATTATAGATATACGTACATTTAGTAGACAAAACACGATAATAATATGATCGATAATATTATTATTTTTATTATTTTTTGTTTTACCAAATTTATAGTTGCAAAGATAAATTACAAGTATTATATATAAACGGATAAAAATAAGTTAAAAAAGATGAACATACTTCGCACGATGGTGGGCCATTGTTGTAGGTGAGAAGTTGGGAAGGTACAATAAAGAGGGAAATTTAACCCATTAGCGCATAAATTCCGAGATAAAAAGTAGCTTGCAATTTTACCCTTATGATTTCTTAAATAATAGAAGCTCTCACGTAAAATAAGAATATTAACATTTTCGCTTTTAGTAGGGATTTACATTTTGTATACCTTTACATTTTGTATCCACGTTTAGTATAATATTAATATTATTATTATAATTTTAATTTGATTATCTAATTAAACAGTATTACCGTCTTGTTATTGACATTTTATCAGTTTAAGCTTTACGACTATAATATTTGTTTACTGATAATTTGATTTCGTTCCAATGTGGAACGAAATAATATAATACTATAGAGCTATTAAAATCGAATACCACGCATTATAATGTAACTTTATAAAGGGGTAAATGCCGAATTCCAATTTTCGTAAAAACTTAATTTATCCAGATTATATTCGAATAGATTTTAAAAAATACTATGAAAAATCGGTATATTTGACTATCTCTTACAAATTAGCTATTCAGACTATTCTAAATGTTTTAAACCCGACAAATTGTTTACAGTTTTTTTGAGTTTAAGTTTATCAATAGTTGTTGAAAAAAAAAATTAATACGAGCTTTTTAACAGTATTATAGTTATTTCCAAAATTCAGTTTACTTTAATTGCATAAGTAGGTATTTTTCAATTTTGGTGAAACATTTTTTTTTAGGGTTCACATCATTTTGATCGGCAATTTGAAAATAATCAGTCGATATTATTTATTTATAGTATAAGGAATAAGAGTAACATTTTTAAAATGTTGAAAATAAGATCATTAAATTATATGCATGTATAATGTCGGAAAAAATCAAAATTAAATTTTTTTTAAATTTATTCATACAATAAAAAAATCATCTTGTAGAGGTAGACAATTCAAAAAAACTAATATTATATGTACAGCGAGTAAGTTTATGTCATAAATTATGCACAATACTTTAATAATTATATATGTATATGTAAAATTATTAAAAACGTTTGAATATTGAAACAACAATTTATGTATGTATATAATAAAAATGTATACTGTTTAGTGTACGCGCAAATAACGAATTGGGATATTACTGTAGTAATTATATTTTCCATATATTTATAACGTTGATTATAAATTATAATTAACGGCGAAACTCCATAGATAGGCGGTAAAAAAATGCATGGTATAACGTTTATAAGGTTTTTATATTATTTTAAACTGCGTGAAGATTGATTATCGAATTAGTTTCTCAGGTTTTCTTGTAAATACTCTAAACTGTCTTTAGTGTTATAATTTTATTTAATTTATATCCATAAATGCGTTTATGAAACGACATTTCAACTAATATTCAAATAATCTTAACTAACCCATAGTGATCGATTCAGTTTAAACAAAATTAATTATTTTCACTATTCACTTTTTTTTTTTTTTGCACTATAATTATTAATATTTTTTTTAATAAGAAAATTACTGTTTGCCAAACTATTTATGTAAACCATCATGAATATTACTGTTTACACCTTTTTTTTTTTTTTTTAAATAAACATTTCAAGGATAAATAATAATAATTGCCTAGTTTCATCAATTTTACAATGTTTCCGCATGTTTTTTTTATTTGTTTTTACATTTTGACAAAGAACATTTTTTTTTTTATCGAATATCATAAAACATAAACTCGAATAATTAAATTATATACATATGGGTTAATTGTATTTAATAAGCAATATTATAATAATGTTATAATTAGGAACGGATTTATATGTATTTAAAGTCCTTAAAAAGCGCTTAAAATCGTTAAAAAAAGCAAAACTAGTAATGGTAGGAGGGATTTAAAATTTCTCCTCTAATGGCTCTAATATTAAAAACAATTTTTTAACACTATACAAAAATGGTTAAAACAAATTAGTTATTTTCAAATAAAATTGTATGTATTATAAAGAGAAAAAACTTTGTGTTACTTAATTTTTAGTATTGGACGATTTTAATTGATATCGTTTTAAAACCTTTAGAGGGAGACTTTTAAACTTTTCTATCACTTCTTTCTTTTATTTAGTATTTTTAAAATTTTTTTTTTTCGCTAATTTTAAATGCATATAAATTCGTTCCCTAGTTATAATAATTAAATAATTATTACCGATTGATGATATGATTTTATTTATTTAAAGAAATATATTTTATTGATTGTATCAGAACAAATTGTATTACATTTTATTAAGTAAAAATTTGTTTTTTAAGTGTTTTTTTATTATATCATCAGAGTCCACTGTGTTTTGTGCTGATTTCGATACAATTTAAAAATGCGAATTCATACCAAATAATGTTGTCAGTTTTTACTTAACTGAACGAGACAAATTATTGCTCTAATAAAAATGAGAATGTATATTATATGAAAAAATAATAATATTATTTGTTTGTATAAATCTGAATGAGAATTTATAATATTAGATGATAACTTCAACTAATTCAATTATAACGTATCCTTGCATTTTGAAAAAGTTTCTTTAAATGTGAATCGAATGTAATTCAATAAATCTGAGTGTTGATATTAGGGTAACGTGATGCCGAACGTGACGTCGTAACTCTATAATATAAGTAATAAGTATAGTAACCTTCACCTTCCACATTGGAAATGGAGTTGAAGAAACCGTAATTATTATACTAAGTTCATTATTTTTAATTTTTATATTGAAGTAAGTATATAATCAAATTTTTAGACTATTTAATCAGCTATACAAAGTTAAATATCATTATTGATTTACAAATCTGATTTTTTTTCTCTGTATAATATCTGTGACAGTATTTTTGTTATGTAAAAGTTAAAAGATCTGGATTTTCATCCCGTGGTGATGGTACTTTATTTGAACCATTTTTTTTAGGTTTTATTAAGTTGTCTAGTAAAAATAAAGAAGGTTGCCTCTAAATTTGGGTCTTTAGTTATGCTGATTTCATCGGTTACAGAAGAAAATAATAAGCTCCACTCAGAATCGATTTTTGTGTGTGAATGCGGTAATGAATCTACATTATTTAAATCAAATCATTATAATAATATGCTTTAAATTTCTGCTTAAAGGTGCAACAGTGGCTTACACAGTGATGTGTAACCCGTCCTTTTTTTAAAAAAAAGTTTGTATTTTTCGGAAAATTAACCCATTCAATAAAGTTTTGTTGTAAAACAAAAAAATAGTACTACTCCAATAATATTATTATTTTGTCGTTGTTTTTGTTATATATTATCATTATGATGTCAGCACTCTTCGATGCTATTTTTAAATAATTATTTTTGAATTCGTTAATTTCATTATATTATATAGGCAATATATGTTCTGTGGTCCGTGGGTCGTATATATTAAGAGCAGTTACGGGTCACATTTTCTTTCACAGTATGTCGGCGTGCATTATTTTTGTAATTTGTCATATTTTTCATTTTTAAATTTACATAGTTTTAAAATCTTTTAACATCCGAGGATCTCGCCCATAAAATTGATCAACGATATAAATTTACTAAAAGTTTCATATCTATGTAAAACGAAATATTTATAATCTACATATAAGCAGTGTTAAATTTTCAATTTCGAGTTCATTTCCATTAAATCGTTTTTCAAGTTTAATTACAGTTATTCTTATTGTGGCCCGAATTTGGACGATTCTTTTTGATTTTTGTCGGAAAATCATATACAATGTGAAATAAATAAAGACGTGTTTCACAAATGAATTTAAATTACTATTTTTTTTTCCCTTTTTTTAATGTTTCATATTTGTTTAAGCCATTTGTATATTAGTCACGGTTTTAAATATATATGCAAGAGTATAAAGGTACACCTAAATGATTTATTTGTTCTATAGAATCAGTAGTTGAAGTGGGAAAAAGTCGAAGGCAGACTTAATTCATCAACAATTGAGGGGCGTTCCCGAAAACTAACTAACTCTAACCCTAACCAAAATTTCAAGGAACTACACATCAACGAGAAAAGACTGAGTCTTATTACGTATAATCAAATAGGTATATTGAAGAATATAATTTTATTAAAATTAATTCGAATTTTTAAAATTTCATTAAAAATGTTTTAGTGACAATATCTCACTTACGAGTACTAAAATTAGACATCGAAAGTTCAAAGGGACTCATAATTTTACCTTAAATTAGAAAGGGAATGGGAATTCATCCTTCTTCACCCTCCTCCACTTTAATAACTATCTACAATAAAATAAGTTTTTAAACTTTCAATCAATTAACCTTTTATTTTTAATTTTGTTCATATATTTATATATTGAAACTTAAAATAGTATAATTTATCATATTATATATTTTTTCATTTTCTAGGGATTTCATTTTATTTCAAGTGTAGTTTCAACGGTTTTTCTAAGCTTTTTTGGGTCATCGACATCCATAGTTATTATAGTTGGTTTTTATTTAAAAATACGTTTGTAGTCTGACCAAAACGCTGGTTTACTCAAGGTGCGAATTGTGTGTCATTTGCAATATCTTTTTTTTTTATGTCCGTCTATTCTTAAATATATATTTTTTTACCTTCAACTATGTTAAATGAGATGTAGTTATTTTTGAGTGAATCACAAAGCATTGGTTATAAATAGTAGTTATTAAGTATCTATTACATTAGTCTACGATTTATACTAAATGAGTGCGCGTTAATGAATAGGTACACATATATTATTATTTATCAACCTCCTATCCTCATGTTAGGAATATCAATTATACAATATTCCTAATATCAACCTCAAAATTCCAAAAATGCCGTTAAATTTGAAATCTAACTGGTTGTATAAAATTCGATTAGATTATATGAATTATGTTTCACTCATTCGCTCACAAAATATTGTTATCCAATACATTACTTTTCTATGTATTTAAAAGTTAAAACAAAATGAAAAAAAAAATAACTAAATAATCGATTATATATAAGATTTTTTGTGTTTAATATCTTTAGTCTGAAATTATTTCACACAATTATGGTTAGGTATACTTATGAAATTGGAACATCAAAAATCATCTAGAAAATTTAACAATACATAAGACGGACGAATGGCGATGGAAAGTTACTGCACGAATAGGTGTATACAAGACTATATAGTATCGTAACCTTGGATAGTCGGATAATTTTAGTGTGACGGATCATTTTTGTTTTTATTCATCACATGGTAGGTATATATAATCGTTGTATACTTAATAACTCGGCATGAATTCAAATGTGTTGGCAATTGTATTTATATAATTTAATACTAAAAGAAAATAATACATCGAAGTATTATATAATGATATTATAATACTAGTCCTGGTCACTTCTTGCTACATTTAATGTCATTCGTTTTACATTTAGTTCTAAGTCTTAGGTTTAGTTTGCAGAAGTTTCACTATTGTATTCATGTCTGTTTGTGGTATACACAAAATATATTTATAAATTATAATTAGGTTACGGATTATAATACATATTGCATTTTTTTCTGAATGTCCTAAAGCAATGCTTTCCAAGCACACTATTTGTTTCATATGTCAAAAAATTAAAATATGAATATTTTTTTTTGCATATTTAGAACTTTTTTTATTTTCAGATTCATTTTGGACATTTTAAATGCATTTTTAGGTGTTTAAGGAATTTTCTTTTCTTTCTACAGACTTCATAATGTTATCCTAAAATTTGATAAAAATTATTTTGATTTACTCCTAAAAGGAAAAACGATTCAGTGTACCAGATGAATACGGCTGCAATAAAGAAAACGATAAATTATTTATTGAGTTGTAATGTAATCGTATTATTACTCTATTTGCACTGTTGTGTTTAGTAAATTTATATACTTAATAAAAAAAGTGTACGATGTGTTCGCGTTGCTAGGTAATATTAAATATTTCCGTCTGAGGATTTTGGATTAGTATTCCGTTTTCGGGAAGTGATAGGGGTTACTGAAATACGCACTTCAGGATGAATTTAAATGGTTTAATCTTTTCGGTCCGTGCATGGCACTGCATACGCAGTGAAAATTGTTGTTTTTTTTTTTAATAGAAAAGTATTATAGACTATAGATTCGGAAAACATTCATCGACGGCACGGAAAACAACGGGAACTTTTTGGACTGGTGCAATTGAATGTGATTTTATTATGTGACCGTAGAGAATTCAAATAATAATATAATATAATTATTGTTGCGGTATGCAATATTATATCGATGCGCGTTTAATAATTTTAATGGGTTCTAGTTGACACAAGATTGATATATTTATTAATCGTCTTCATCTCGCAGTTTGTATTTCACATGTATTCGAAATATCTGTCTCTGTATTAACAGTATATATGTTTTTGGTTTATGGTTTAGTATACATATTCAAAGTTTGATACAACAGATTTCTCAGAATAGCCCTTAAAGCACCCTGGTTTATGCATAAAAAGTAGCTTCACAATGACACTGGTATATCATACCTTTACATATGGATCAAGGAAAAATTTAAGTTATTTCACTCAAAACTTAATTTAACTGAAGGTGCACTCCATTATAAGATTGGGGAGCAAACAAAAAATTGCTAAAACTACGTCTTCCCCAGGATGTTTTGTTACCTATGAAGTCATTCGAATCCGAATCTGATTCGTTGTAACTGCCTATTATCCTGTACATTATTTATTTTTACTTCTATTCACGTTTATATATAAATTAATTTTTTTTTTTTAATTACTGTAATTACCATTGTTTAAACAAAAATATGTTGAAACAATTAATAAAATAATGGAAAAAAAAGTTTGATATACATATATGAATGTATATATATATGTAAAATCTTTATCTAGTTTTTGTCATCATATTTTGGTTCTCACAACTCAACTTTTTTTTTCACCGAACTTATACACAAAAACGGCAGTTACGTATTATTTTTATTATGTTGATTATTATAGTATTGGCATTATTATAATCAGTAGGGTTTCATTACTTTTATTTTTCGTCACTTTTATTTTTGCCGACGAAACTACTACCTACTTTATTAATTTTATAATAGCAACTTTTATTACAAATTCCATAAATAGATGATATTTTACATTAAATATATTTTGGTGTTGACATTTTTAAGTTCCGTCAACCTAATAAACCAATTACTCAGTGTAAATTTGTTTGTTAATTTGATTTTATGTATGTGTTTTCTTAGAAAATGTTTACAAAGAAGTAATTTTCATTGACAGTAGAAATAATTCCAGGTTAATTTGTTTTGTGTAATAATAAAAAAAATATTGTACGGATATTAAATTTTCAAAATCAGTAGTGATCCAGATTTAGTTGTTGTATGTGTGCACGAGGGTGTCATACATAATAATGTATATTGTATTGGACTGTATGGATTTTTTATAGAAATGATTATATAATTTTATTTAGAGCATATTTAGATTGACTATTAAAAAAAAACTGTGCATATAATACAACATTAATAATATATAGTGAATACAAAATGATTTATCTATAATAATTTGACAAAGCGGATTTGTGACAACCATGCCGCCAAAATGAAAAACCTCCCGAGGTACCGTCGTCGCTACGATTATATTAGGTATTCTCAAGTAAACATGTTTTAATTAAGACCCGTTGCTTTTTGTTTGAAGTTATTTTTGACGGGAATAAAATTTATATTTTCCTTTCCATGGACACCCGAATGTATGACTTCTATGTATGTGTATACTATTACATTGAAGTACCGAAGCCAAAGTAAACCAGCTAAAACTCGAATCCACTCTTATCGTCAAAACCCATATTATATTAAATTTACTCAAGCGGTTTCAGCGATACGTTATATTGATAAAGTTCAAGTACACACATAAAAAGCGGGGAGATTTTGCGTAAAATTGATATATGCAAATAAATTATAATATGTATGTACAATCTAATTGCAGCGTATACCACCATTACGCTAATTAACATTTTTATATTACAAAATATTATATCCGTACAGGTATTATTAGCGAGATATAAAAATGTATAAATACATATATTTTTTTTTCAATATGTATCTCAAAATTTGATAAAATTAGATTTTCATCAATACTATTAAAACAAGTGTTACCGAAAAAGTTTTGGTCTATCTTTCTATAGTATATTTATATTCAGTGCAACGGTCCTTGCATGCGCTAAGTAAAACAAAAGAAGCGTAGCAAACGATAGTGTACATTATGTCGAACAACATTTAAACACAGGTAGAGTAAAATTAAAATGTTTTCTTTTAAAATATCATAGATTTCCAATTTATTTTATAAATAAATCACGAGTGCCCATGTTAAGAAATAAAAGATTTTTATAAGGTCCACATTTAATGAATAAAATACATACATATATGTATTTGTTAAACAGACTTGCAAACGTAGTTCGTTAATAATGTGTAATCGTAAAAATATTAATATTTGTATATCTATACTGATTGGATGAATATATTAAATATAGTTTTTAGACGGCGAGTTATCATAATTTAACATAGATTTGGGATCGGGATAAATAAGTAGGTATCAACCAAATAAGTGTTTTATTTCAAATTTTTAAAAAAACATTTGAAATACAGCAAATTCAGAGTAAATTTTCCCCGAAATTTAACTCACTGGATATTCCACAATCTTCCATCGCATCACTGCTGCCAAAATAAAATTGGTAGTAATTGTTGGTAGCAAAAATTTTTTTTTTGGTCTGATGACGTAAAACATTTTTTTACCAGACATTTTGATCCGATTTTCAAATATAATAATAATATACCATCTTTTTTTAAATAAAATGTTGTATAATTGGTGCAATAGGGAAATCGTGTTTATATATTTTTTTTAGTTTTCTTAATAATTAGGAAAATTAGTAGGAAAAATTACGGCAATAACGGCTTTATTTTTTCGTTATTTCTGTAATTCGTTTAAAAATAATCGTAGTGACTTGAGGTTCATAATTTTCACAAAATATAAATATATTAGTATATTAGTTTTTCCCTGACAGAATAAGATTTTCAAAATATTTTAGCATTGCTTGAGCTACTGATAGACATATGACATTTTCGAATTTTTATTTGATTTTATTAAACTGTTTTGGCCAATCAGAATTGTTTGAGAATTTTACACAAAGCTTATCTATCTTAGTCGTAAAATAAGTTAAGCGTAATGTTGTAGTTTTTATGAGTTTTTTATATACAAATTTTAATGAAAAACGTAATAGTCACGGAATTTCAAAACATGTTTTACCGAATTTCGGCCCAAATCGTTTTTGATTAGTAGTAACTTATCGTTCTATACATATATAAATGTAATTACTCTACAATATATCCTATTTTCTCAATTTCCCATCTACACCAGTAGCGCATCCATCAGTAGTATCAGCTACTTTTTTTTTATGTGTTCTGCAAAACGAGACCGATCGATTAAAGAGCGAATGGAATATTAATAAAGTTTTTTATTGTATTGGTATACCATAATATGTAATCATACTGCGTGTACATTTTATTTATTTCCTCGGACGGTTTTGTTGTCATCCAAATGACGTACGTACGTCAAGTCGATCTATTTCTCAATACATGCTTATGTCCATATTCGTTACTATAATATACATATCTTACTGCGTCACAAGAAAAAATAATGTTCTTCACTCTCGACAGAGGAACAAATTTTTGTAAGACATGTCTGATCATTAATACTTGTTATTATATATTTGTATACGTATATATACTATATAGCCGGCCACTTGTTAATTCTATATGCCGGTACACACGTGGCATATGTGCCGGTTGTCGTTGAACATTTAGGTCAATTTTCACTAATATTTTGTACAACAACAATGGTTTTAATTGGAAATCGGTTAAAAATGTGTACATCAATTGAAATATGTAGATTTTTTTTAATTTTAATTGAAAACCAACTAAAATCCATACCGACATACCGCATATGATAACGTTTTTTTTTTTAAACCTTTTTAACGATTTATACAGTTGTACAGATGTATAGTTTTGTTCTCTCAGGTTTTATAATATTCCCTTTTATTAAACATTGAAACACTAAATCCTGATACTATATTATAGGTATAGGTATAGGTATAGGTATAGGAGTACCCTATTTCACGTATACTCGATTTCATGTATTCATGTGAAATTACCGTCCAATATATCTATAAAACCATGTACCTACTTGAAAAATCTGAGTACACGTAATTATTCACATGAACATGTATATTCACGTATTCATGTATTTACTATTTGAATGTATTAATATTTACTTTAAGTTGATAATATTGTTAAAATTTTTATTCAACAATAAAAGAAATTCAAATTATAACAATTCTACAAAAAATCGAATATAGTACGTTATTGGCTGAACAAATATCAGCAAATTATAAGAATAACACCAAAACATGTGAACACGTATTAAATTCACGTGTATTTAGTGTACGTGAGTTCATATTTTTCATTCACGGGTACTTAGACTGTATTTTTACAGGTTGTAGAAACCCGGAGTTTCACAAACCGTATAATTCCAGACTGTATTTCGGCGGAAAAATAAATACGCAGAACCTATCATAACCGACTGTAATGACACAGACCGTTTTTTTCCCGAAAATAAAATACGTAAACCGTATTTTTACCGATCACAGAGGTCCAGAATGTAAATACTCCGATCGACGACCGTATTATGGCAGACGAAATAATAAAATCAATACTGGTAACACTGAATTTTTACGGTCGGTATGAAAATTATCAAATTCGGGAATATGAAATCGGGGACTATACAGTCGAGGAATAACACAGTCTGTGTATTTTTTTTTCCGATGAAATATAGTTTGGAACTATATGGTTTTTTTTACTAGTTGTTTCTTCTTTAACTGTACATTTTTACTTCATGATTATGATAGTTACTGATGAACCCTAGATTTCCCTCTCCCTCTCTCCCCCCTTTAACAACTATAGGTCTCACTATGATTTTTAAATCATTTCGCCTATTATCCAACTTTTGTTCTTCGTTTGTGTTATATCTTATCTATTTGTGTTGGTCACCACTAAGCACGGAGTAATACAAATCCACGGGTGTAGATTTTTAAAAAGATTCAAGAGTTTTAATATGAAATTTGAATGTGCTTATTTGCTTATTTCGATAATGAAACATAAATTTAAAAATTGTTTTACTAGTTTTTTTTTTTTTTTTTGCTTTTTACACATTTTTTTAAGAGCTTATTTCAGAGCTGTGTAAGTTTATAATTATGGCTATAGATAATCTATCATCTGTATAATGACGTTTTTTTGTTGATTTTAATAGTCACTATAGTTATTATTAATAGTGTAACGTTTATTGATTTTAATTTTTTATAATTAGACAATTTTTTTAATGTGTTGTTGACATTAATGAACTCATATCTATTACCTATAATATGAGTAATTTTTCTTTTTATTAAACTGATTATTTTCTTAGCGTGTTTCAAAATATGTATTACAGTTTATAATCTTAAATATTATTCTATAACTTATAATGGTAATGTTCAATATGTGTATGGTCCTAAAAGCAAAATATACATATATTTACTAAATTTAAACAACAAGTAATTTACTCGTATTGAATATTATCAACGTGACTTGTAGTATATATAATAATTATAATATTGTTATTACTCACCTTGCGATAATAATATGTCTTACTCGTGTGTTGAATGCATTGTAATATTAAAAATAACGACGTTTTCTCGATTTTATAGGGTATTTTATGTTTTTATTTCTAATAATATTAACTTGTTGCAAAATAATTCGGAACACGAGTAACAAAATATATAGTCGTAGAACAATCGTCATTCTAATGACTGCGTAAAAACAATGAACATAATTCGTTTTTTTTCTTTTTACAAGAGAAATGATCTGAATAAATAAATATAAATAATATAATGTAAAACATAATCTAGGTACGTATACATGTTTACCGAATGCATAATTTCATTAGATGTGGTTGATTTCAAATACATATACATTACTTAATATACTATCAGATAGCAAATTTAAAAAAGTGTTTTCGAATGAACGGCAAAAATAACACCGAGCGAAAAAATTGTATAATATAATAGGAATGGCGTACGATGCCAGAAAAAATGTAATGCAGGCGTAAAACAAATTATCAACTAAAATACAAAATATTCATTAGATATAATATTCGTTAAAACAATACTACTAGATTCAAAACGATTTACGAATGGGTTTCGTATAAAACTTACCGTTTTTGAAACACTATAAAACGACGCAATAGTATTATATTATTTTGTATTCTTATTATTATCCCTCGCATCTATATCATGTTTCAACATTGTTTTGATTTTATAAAAAAAGAAGGGGGGAGAAGCAGACGTGTCGCGAATGTGATATTATTGTTTTGTCGGCTGGTCTTTATTATTGGTATACGACCGGTTATGGTTCTATCCATTACGTAGGTACCTATAATTATATACTATAGCAGCATATTATTATCTTAAAATCATTTGACCTCTACTCCACCATGACTGAGAAAACTGTAAACACACCATTATGAAATATTTAATTTATTTTAAAAACTCTATGATAACCAGGGGTTAAGGATCTTTGTACGATAGAACTTTAACTAAAAATAATATACTAAACTAAAATAATAAATTTAATTTTTACATCCTTTTATCTTGTGGTTTTAGTAGTATAGTACCTCTAGTATCTACTTGTTGCCTATTTTTGGAAGGTTCATGTGCTCTTTTTCGTGTTTGTAAACAACTTTACTACCGGAAATCTTGTTACGATCAAAAATTTCAGATGGAATTTCTTATAGCATATATCCATATAGACACAATAGTACTGACAGTGAACGGCTAGCATTATATTTATTCAGTGAACGTTGAATGCGTCAATTTGTTTGCTCGTGTACGGGCCTTAATGTTCTTTGTACTGCGTCTACGAAAGATTTCACCGTATGCTATACTTATTATAATCACCTGATTTATACGAAGACAAGCGAAATGTAGAATTATTCAAATGTTTATGGAATGAACTTTTAGAATTTTCCAAAAAAATTAAGTAAATATTGGTATACCGACTCATAAATTTTCAAATTAAACTTTGAAAATAATTTACTTCAACAAACTGTTTATTACTTCGACAGCTGGATCAAATAGTAGTAATGCAGTATATTTTATACCAAAAGTTTACGGAGAAGCCATTTTTACTATGAGATAGTTGGCACAATAAATAAAGAATTAAATAATAGATTTTTAAGTGAAACTTTATCAGCTTCCCGCTGATCATTTTTTGAACTAAATCCCATTATTTATTCATCTATATCAGACATTACTTAATATTGATTCCAAACTATTAAAATCAGAAATGGTGGTAGAAAAAAATTGTTTATTAAAAGAAACATGGAAACTTCATGAACTAATGAAAGTTGCAAATAAATCAGTGTTATTAAATTTCAGAAAAATGTTCAAAATAGTATTAAACTCCCCGTTACCACAGCTACTTGTAAATGATCCTTTTAAGAAATGTGAAGTATTAAAACATGGCTTAGATCGTCTGTGCAACAAGATTGTTTTGATAGCTTGACATTATTGAACATTGAAAAGGACATTCTAAAAAATTTAAATATAGAAAAAATACTTGACCAATTTGCTAAAAAATCAAGAAAAAAAAGGACGGGCATACTTCGCATGTGGGTGTAGCCACTGTTATGGGTGGGAAGTTCAGAAGATAAGCTACAGACGGGAATTCAATGTATATCTGTAAGTAAAGATAAATCATTATTAACGAAAAAAACGATTCTGAGTTGAGTTCAGTTGATAATGTTGCTTTGTCAACATTACAATATATGGTATTATGTCATATTATGGTAAAATGATTAAAACAATGTGCGTTTCCATGACAACAATGATTGTTTTAAAAACATTTAAATAATAAAAACTTAATAACAAAAAATAAATAAAAACGGTTACCAATGATAACATTCTTTTTAATCTTTCAATCTTTTTTAACCTAAAGACTGATGTTTTTCTCATATCGAAAAAAATTACCTACCTAAAGTATAACTCAGAGAAAATTTCCTTTCAAAAAAGATACTTAATAATCGGAAGTATGCTTTCCGTTAGTGTTCATAAAAAAAAAAAAAAATAATAAAATTAATAAAAAAAAAACACCATTTTATTATAATTATTTTATAAGTTTAATATTTAGTATTTAAATACAAAATGAATACCCTTTTATAATATCATTCTATTTAGTTATTTATGATGTAAAATATTTCTTGAGACTTTAGCCTTCTTCCCTTGTATTTATTACAAATTTTAATATGCTCCCTGTATGTTGATCGGTATACACTACGAGTTCGCACAAAATTTCTTTGTGACGTTGCGGTTGTAAGGTTAAATATTTCATTAGAATTCAAGAAATAATCTGTATAATATAAATTAAAATTAACTGTGTAATATAAATATTAAGTATAAGATAAAACTGTTTATTGTCAATAATGAATGGTTTTAAAAGTTTTTATTCGTACCTATAATAGCCAACTGTATCACCCTCGTGGCCTCATCTACATAGCTATTTTAATTGCCTTAGATTATAAACGTTGACGATTTTTTTTTCACTTTTGATACTATGCAATTTCATTATTATTTTTTTATTATTATTATTATAATCATTATTTTTTATTAATACTAAAACTATAACTGGCACCGTCGCAACAATATTTATGCAGAATCGTAAGTTACCCATGTTGCTTACCCGTAAGTTACTCATTCTATATAAGTAGGTAATTCCTGAACTCCGATAATACGAGTAAGACATTACCAAGGGATATTAACTTAATCTATGAACTTATTTCGTACAACGTAAATGCAATTGATTCGCTTATCTACACGAGGAAGTATAAAATGTATTCAGATATAACTTTATGAACTAAAATGCATAATATTATGTTTTCTGCAAGAATTATGAAAATTACCGATATTGACAATGTGTTGAAGCATCTATTATTATATATATTTTATTAGTAAAGCTATTTTCTTTATGCATTAAAAGACTGCTGAAACTACTATTATCACTGCAATATACGTAATTATAAAAAAACGTTTTTTTTTTCAACCGGAAATTAAACGTACATTCGTACTAATTTCAAGTTTGTTTTTGAATTGCGTTATAAATTTAAACCGTTTTGAATAATAAATTATGTGCGGTGATTTGTCAGCCGTCTAAAAACCAAAAAAAGTAATTTAACGCCCTCATAACCATAAAACATTTCCAAAAAAAGCCATAACGAAAACTTATAAAATTCACGACGACGTCCATCGTTAATAATAATAAGAGCAGCGATCATACTAAAAAGCAGACTTTAATAACATCATTTTAATTTCCAGTGCGGCGGCACTGTCCATTTTTGTAGTCGGTTTGCAGCAGTTTTTTTTTCGAATCTATTTTCTACTTCTCAAATGGTGACATTGGCAGCTCGATAATCCGTAGGTCTGTTATAATATTATTTCTCTTGCACATAATATCGATTAATTTATTTCGAATGATACTATGAGTATATTATGTAAATGAGGTTTTATTATTTTTGTAATTAATCGTCCTACTAATATTATAAATGTAGAATTGTGTGTGTGTGTGTGTATGTGTATGTGTGTGTTTGTTTTCAGCCAAGATTGCAGTTACTTTAGGTCCTAGATTAGGACAAAGGATACTTATCATTCCAGAGAAATGTTTACTCATTATAGGATAGTAACCTAACTTATCGAACACATTGAAAAACACCACATACACTTTGTGTTCGTATGTATTTGTTTGATTTTTTTTTCAAAACAACACCGCAATGCCTCACGTCTTACCATCGGCAACGCACACTGCGGTGATTTTAATCTCAAACCCCATCTCATTAAAAAAAAAAACAATGTAAAACATATTGTTTCCTGGTTGAATAAGGATTGAATGGTTGAATGGACTAAAGAACATTTATATAATTGCAGGATTACCAAAAACCCAAGGGAAGATACCACATAAAAATCCCAAATCAACGCTCATATACTGCTATTGTATAATACTTATTGCACCTATTACTTTTTTTCTAGAATAGCCAGGGAAATACCTGGTAATACACTTATACTTTACAGTTTTACAATTTTCAACATATACACGAATGTGTGATCACAAATTTAAGAATTATGTTTGATCGGATTACATTGAATTGTGTTGACACTTTTTGTTTACAGTCTAAGTGGTAATATTTAATTAGGCACACATTTACATAATCATTTTAAATTTGTATTCATTGTGGTTATTTTATTATTTTAATACTAACACATTTTATGCAATATGTAGTATTAACCATACTATTTGTATGCGCTTATTTTTTTATGCTATTTTGACTAATTAATCTATACTTAAAATTAGTCAACCAACAATTTTTCAATTTAACATGTGTGTTCTTACATTTATTCAGTTGCTCCAATATTAAAATAATAGTTAAAAAATCAATGACCTTTTATGATTTAACAAATCGAAAAAAATATATTGATAACTCGAATACAAATTACTCTTGTTCGGTCAATGTGTTGTTTCGCCTAACCCTGAACAATCCAACTTCAGTACATTGGGTTGTATGATTTGGTTTCGGCACATTTTTGATTACTTATAGAAATTGTTTAGTGTTGGCACTGATTTCGTAGTCTTGATAATGACAGATCTGATTTAATCGAAGCAACAGGTTTGACATTATCATCAGATTATTGTACGATGAAATAAACACAATAATTTTAAAAAGCCGATTGGTCAATTATATGAAATATTCATAATAACGGTTTTAAATCGAACAATAATAATGATGTTAGTAAACAATCTATGTTGAGATGAAATAATATTGCTTCGCGTTAACCTTGGTCGGTCCGTACAATATTGTATTGTATTCACTTCTTCGGCTTTATAAAATGATCGTTTTATTGGACACGGTCCGGGCGTGCACCTTGTAGAAATATTCCTTTTACACGAAAATCGCTACAGATTTTATGTTACTATTATTGATTAGATTGGATGGTGACGAGAAGCTAATTTGCTATTGAGTGTTACTGTATAAGCAGGTATAGGTATTATTATTTTGATTATCACTATTCCGGCACCGAGTTTATTGTATCTAGTAGGTACAATAACATAGCTAGGAAAATATTTCGAGAAGGGTTTTAAATTTGAAATTCCCATTATTTATAAAATCCATCAGGACTTCCCGTTTTTTAATACGTTATTTAATTAATCGTATTATAATTTATAAATAAAATTAATAAAAGAAAAAAAACCATTAAGCTATAGAGCTTTATCAATAGAGTCAAATTTTTCCCCATCTATTTTGTGTTATAGAAATATTATTTGTACAACAATAAAATATAACCGAATAGGTACTACAATAATATAATATATACTACAATTATATTTTTTAAAAAAAAAAAGTTGAAATAAAGTAAGTAAGTAAGTAATAAAGTAAGTTGATCATAAACATGGTAGACGGGAGACAGTTAAAAACGCCAATAGGCACTTCCTTGATACTAACATTTATATTTCATCTTCCAGTCTTTATTTAATGGGTTTGTAAGGATGTTTAAATCTAAAAATTTAAGAGGAAAATTCGAAAAAAAGGTGACTTACTTTACAAATGTCTTATATTTTAAAAAAATTTAAAATAAATATATAAGATATTTCGGAGGAATGGGTGGTTATAACCTACCTTCTGCTGGCTACACTGTTGAGTTAATGGAGCCGAAATTCGGTTTTTGTCATTTTTAGTGCAATGTCAAAAAAGAGAATCAGCCTAAAACTAATTAAATTGTAATGTTTGCTAATATATTAAATAAATACAAGCTAACTGTAGAAGAACAGTTATTTTTTAAAGATCTCCAAATGGATAAAATTCAAAAGTACAACTATTTTTAGGCAAGGTTAATGAAGATTGGGAGCATTCAATAGAAATGAAATGCAGAATTGAGAATACCAGAAGTGCATTCCGTAAAAAGTTATGATTTTTCACTCACAAAATTAAACTGTTGAGATATTACATTTCCCTAATCAACTTTAACTTATGATTTGGAGCTGAAACATGGACGTTAATAAGAAAATCAAGGATGTAGAATGAGGCTAATTCGTCAAATTCTAAATATCCTATAAACAGATTTTGTAGTCCAACTTGAATATATTTTAACGAATATGAAATAATTATTATAACGATAAAATCTCGGAAACTAGACTGTCAAGGAAATATATTTATTTTGATTTAGAACATCCGTATCGGATAGGAACTCCAAGAAAAAGAAATCGCCAATATTCGGTTTTTGTCATTTTTTGCGAAATAATGTAAAAAAAAAAACGGTGGTTCTCAGTCTATCTATAATTACTTTAGCCAAAAAGTCCCGAGTCAAGGCTGTGAATTTAATGCATTTACTTTTTTTTCTGTTATATCGTATAAAAACATGGATTCGATCAAAATTTGTTTTGTATCATTTATAAATAAAATATAAAATCATATTTTGCAAAGGAATTGAGGCATATAAATGCCCAATTTGAATTCTCCGAGTTAATGATTTTTTTCTAAATAATTATATTTTCTGATTAATCTGGTCTAAACTGGTGTTTGCAAATTCTGTACTTGGGTACTTCCTTGTGAAAACAAATCAATTTTAATCAGATATTTAACTAGTTGTTATCTATTTTCATGCATTCGCGCCTACATGATATTTACGGATAGTAAAACCAAAATATATAGTATAGATAGTATAACCAAAAAATAATAAATTATTAGTAATTATTAATTTCCTCCTTGCCTTTTTTTGATATAATATTTTAAGAGCATTTTCAACGCATATTTAGTTATATATATATATAATATTTCTTTTTCGTATAAATTCATAGCTTTGTTTAATGTATTGTTTTTGTAGTAGATAAATATTCCTCTTATTATTTTGTTTTTGTGCTATTAGCCGTCGTTTCAACACTATGTAATAATAATATTATACTCGTACCGCACCGAACTAAAATAATGCGTCTATTTGGTGGGGCGCATGCGTTTGACGTCATTTGTTTACGTGACCCGCTTGGTAGGCACACGTGACGACGGCGGCGGCTGCGGTCACATACTCACGTCTGGAGGGAAACGGTCGACGAAGGGACGCTGTTATTATAGGGATTTTGCGTCGCAGAAAATGATATTTTCACAGCATGCGGTCGGTTTACTATATAATTAGTATTACAGTACGTTTATGTATGATGTCATTAAAACGGTTTGAAATTAAATCGTTATTCAATTTCCGCATTTCTCTGGTCACAAAGGTAAATAAAATTACCTACTTTCATTAATTAAACTTTACCGACAAGTTAAAGGTAATATGTGGAGTTAAATGAGCTCCATCTAAGATCGGTATTCGTCTGGAATAACTTTCCCAACTATCCTTGTATTTTTACTAGTTTCTACCTAGGAAGTTTTTATAATAATTGGGAAAACCCGCAAAAAAAAACATACGAAAAACAAACAAATTATACGTGTTTTAAGTTAAAATTTTGACGAAAATCGGAAAATTAACGTAGAATTAATTTGTTGACCGGGCATAAATGCTTGAAATGTATACACGAGTTACACCATCAGTTGAAATTAGCAATTAAAAAATTTAACAGTACGCATTTTTTTTTAAGCATTTAAAGTATAAATTTTGTCGTAAATCTTAAAAATCACGGCATTTTAATGCATGTTTAACTTTACTAGGAATCGGTGTACCATTTTACCAGTAGTACACCGTACGCTTATTATCAGTATTGGGTATTTTTTTTCATACATAATAATATGTTATTAATTATTAAATTTTGTTGTATACAACGCTAAATACCAAATGCATAACCCTCCGTAGTCGGGTAAAAAATGCGATCGTCGTGACATTCGACAATACGACGGACCATGTTTACTGCGCAGTAGTTTTTTATTCAAATATAGTAAAGAAAAAATCTCCGTCGCGCTCCCGGTGGTGATCATTTTTTTTACACATGTGAAATTATTTTGTTTTTTTCTGTTGTGATTTTACGAATCGGTTATAATCTTTTAAGATACTAATAGCATTAGTTGTATAGGTATTTTTTTTTAGCAGAAATAACGAACGAGATAACATTTTTTTTTATTTTTTACGAATAAGCGAGTCAACTAGACAATTGTCAGAGTACATTATCTGTATCGTATACCTATGAATATTATTTGTTTATGGTAGACGGAATAAATATACAATTTTGAAATATTGATAAAGATAAAAAAGAGTATAGTATGGGCCATAGGGCACGGGGGTTAAAGTGGGGATATAACAATACCAGGTGACCGTGTTTAAAATATCTCATCCGCTAAAAAAATGATTTATTTTTGAAATGACGTTACAGTTATAATTTAGGTTTTCTTAAATATATTTACACTAATGTAAATATATTGCTGAAAGAGCCTATTCTGTAGTCTATGTTTAACTAGGTTTTAGGTGTTTATTTTAATAATTTGTAATACATAATACGCATCGAAATAATAAATTACATTTGTTGTTCGTGGACAAAAATGTATTCAACGATTTGTTTTAAATATCTAAGTGTTTTCGTTGTATATATAAAATATACAAAAATAACAATACATAATACGAGTATATAATGACACTGTAGAGAGACATCTGCCACCCGCACGAGCTTTCGGAAACTCGTATTGCGTCCGAGTACACAATAATAATATGAAACTCATTCGTTAGACATTAATATCATACGTTTTTGAATAAAACGAAATACCCTGAACGTTAAAAACATTACTCAATGTTGTTACAACACACTTAGGTAAATAATCAAACGGTGAGTCGTAAGTGTCCGTAAGTGTTACACTTGCTGGTTTTATTGTCATTGTTGCAGGATTGAAAATGGTATATGGTTAACCTACTCCAACTGATATGAAACGCTAAAATTCACCCAAGATTTATACTAGTGCAAGCATATACATGTCTTTATTATTGTTATTGACTGATAAAAATGTTCGTTATACTACGTATTTTCCTAATAATCGAAATTAATGACATTTTACTGAAAAGTCACGAATAACAAATCATCCACGACTCACGAGTAGCAGAGCTCCATCATTAAAATCGAATTTTCCTCTAGTTGATTTGTTATCATAACAATATTTCACTTTTTTCATTTCTATAACTGGATTAAAATAGTTATGGATGCCAGAGATTTATTGTATTTTAGTTTATAGAGGTATTTAAAATCCGATATTTGCTGTGAAAACATGAATCTGATAATAAAAATGGATAGGTTAGATTAGAGGTTGACATTTGTAAGTCCTAAAGACGTTGATTCATACACCATGTTATAAAAAATGTCATCCGCCTGGCTAAATTTGGGGGATCTGTTGGGGAGTATAAAGTTGAAAAACTCTTTTTCTGAAACTACATGATTCAATTTTTATTGAAATTTACTTATCACTACAATCCGCTTATAAAACAAGTCCCACGTATGAGCTCATTAATTGGTCTAGAGGAAGCTGCTAATTATCAAAAAGTAGTGGGAAAAATTCTAAGATTGATTTTCATTAAAATTCAGTTAAAACAAGTTGTAAATAAAATAATTCGGGTTTATATTATATTATAGTCTTTGGTAAAAACTCATTTGATTTCACCCTGTGGGAAAACTATTTTTATTACCTAGGTACAAAGTCTTATTGAAGATATTAATTAGGGCTCGGAATTTGTAGAACGTAAATTTAGCACTTTAATAAAAAATGTCTGCCTACCCAAATCGAATGCCCTAATACTTATTACGATTCCGTTATTTGAAATCAGCTCGAATTTCGGTTTATTTTTTTTTTAAAGATCGTATACGATTTTTTACGATAATATATGAACAAGTTCAATTTTCTACCATTTAAAATACCTACTTAAAGTAAATAATATTAGATTCTAGGTGAAAATTTTTTTAGCTATGATGCTATAATAAATTGCGGTGATCGATGGTTCCCATTTTTGTCCTTAAACCATAACTTGCTGTCTATTAACTAGTATATATATATATATTTAAAACACGATCATACCGTTGTAATAGTTATTTTTTTCTTATTTGTTAAAACAATAAAAATTGAGCCATCATTATAGAAATAATATAATAATATTATTATAGAATAATAGAAATACCGTGAAATTTAATGTACGCGAATTTGTAGGATTTATAATTGAATGCCTATAATAAAATAGATGAAAATAATATACGAATGTAGCAGTACCGCAGTTACCGAATCAGAGATTGATATACCCAGTTATAATAATTTATTATTATTTTTTAAATATTATGACATCATATAATTATATATTTATACTACAAAATTTTAAAGTCCAAAACATAATTAAATTTAATACAAAAATTATAATTGTTAGTATGTGTATTGTGTGTATTTTGTAATTTATATGATAATAGTACTATTACTGCAGTGCGTTGATATGAATAACTTCAAAATTATTGTTATTGTTTTCTAGTAATCTATATATATAAAACAAAGGCGGGTTAGTTTCACCATTTATAACTCAAGAACGACTGGACCGATTTTGACGATCTTTGATTTGTTGGATTCGTCTCCATTCCGAAAAGCAGAATAACTATTAAAATATCAGAAAGTTCAAGTTAAAAAAATTCTAGGGGTTTTTAGGTATATTTGGTGCGAATATCTAATTACTTATTTATTTATTTTTGTTTGTTCAAGGATTGCTATGGAAAAGAAAACTATTATAATTATTATTATCACTATTATTTACACTATTACCGTAGGACACAAAAAAATATTACTGAACTCCACTCAGAATCGCTTTTAGTAATATATCATATTAAGGTAAAATAATTAAATAGGCACTATATATTTTCTTTAATAATATTTGTTTAATACTGTACTCATTTTCCCGTTTTTTCTACGTTTTTCTATGTTTTTTCCCAGTTTTTCACATTTGCTGGGAAAACTCTTGGGGAAAATCGAAAAATGGCCTCCATAAAGTACTTTCTCAGTCAAATTTTCTTTTAAGAAAAGTGCTATCATTGTAAATCGAAGCAAAATTGCTAGTAGAAAAGTTGTCCACAGAAAAAAAAATTATTTTATTTCATTTATTATTTCGAAAACTTTTCCAGGTTTTTCTCACTTTTCCATTTTATTGGGAAAACTATCGAGAAAATCAAAAAAATGACTTCATTAGAGTACTACCCCAAGAAAATTCCCTTTCTGAAAAGGGTCTATATCGTATACATTGGAATAAGCTTTAGAGAAAAAAAAGGGTTCACATAACAAAATAAAATAATAATAAATATTTGTATATAAAACCAATACATTATTCACTACAATGAGAATCTAAAATAAATGTTTACATTAAATTTTTTAATGTTTGCTTCGCATTGCTCCACGACCACAACTATACTCTTAAATTTATATATTATATAGTAGAAATTATAGTACTTACCCCTGCCCGGTAATCAGTTGTCCCAAGTTGCCTATAAATTAGTATGATAGGCTTACATATTACTTTGTTAGATATTATGTATTTCATTTGTTATAAAATCACGGGAATATGGAATATGGTCACAGTTGTGATACTATCGATTTTATCATTTAATTGTTTATTGTTGATACAATTTTATTACCTGTTAAAAACATTTATAATTTCATATTTGACTAAAAAATAAATTGCTGGTGACAAAGTTTACGGTTAATATCGAATATTTGTATTATATTTTAATCTTAAAAATTAAAAATCTATGAAATTAAAAAAAAAATGAATCGTTTAGAAAATATTTTTAGCGATGACATAATTCGTTCGAGAATATAAATTGTTATATATATATGTATATATGTATATATATATATATATATACATGATAAATGTCACGTTTTCAAATGTAGAATTTCGGTGAACGATGGTTTTCAGTTTTAAAAACGATGAAAATGAGTATATATGTATGATAATATACTTTCTAAGAAATGATTTAATTTATTGGCTGTTTCCCAATGAAAATTCTCCATCAGAAAACATTGGGGAATGATATTATATTTGGCCAGTTCTCAGAGAATAAAAAAAATCATTCGTTCGTTAAATGTAAGTACATGTAGCTTTCAAGTAGGTAACACCATAATTGACGAAAACATTTAAAGAAATATTAACACAAAAAGTTCGTATTTGGTATAATAATTTATACACATATTTGTACAATATTTATAAAAATTTCAGGTTCCTATATTATATGATATTAATTATGATACTGCATATAATATTGCAAACCATTAATCATTTATAATGTATAATGTTAAATTTTATATCTCATAACGTAAGCGGAAAATAAAATATATAACATTGTATTATTGTGTGTGTCGTCTCGGGTCGAAAATTGCTCTATACAAGGTGTACCAGAATCAAATTCTACGGGATGTTACTACTATATGTAGCACTCAGAATAGAATTTTGTTTATAGTTATAATCACCGTTATGTTTGACTTATCATGTCCGAAATCGTAATTTTGGTGTGACACATGCATAAGTGTGTACATTTTACAGGGATTTCAGTGATATCAATGATTTTTTATTTAAATGATAATTTGATGATTTTATCAGCTATCAGAAAAATACGAATAATTTGATATGTGGTAAAAAAACAATAAATAAATAAATAAAATGGTTTTTATTAAATATTATCGTTAGCTGTAAATAATAATAGTTTATAGCTAATTATAATTAATACAAATCATTTTAATTTCAAAATTGAATGAAAAAAAAATACCGAAATTCAAGTCTAACCAGTGCGAACACTTGTTTTAGAAATTTAAATTTAAATACATATCGTACAACGATCGTAATAATTTTATGTTTACCGCTGTATATGAAATCATGCAATACATTATGTAAATTAAAAATATAATAATCATCGACAAATTCACGGTTTTTTGTTAATGTATAATTTTTTTTTTCAATGGATTCTGATAGTTGTTGATTATACTATTACAATATTTCTATAACAATATAATAATTTAACCAGAGACGAGTGAAATGGTAAAATATACTTATAATCTATAATATAAAATACATACAAGTATATTTAAAATTGTTATTTGAAGTGACGTGATGAATCGATTTTTAATGGAAATGTATTTGAAATATAAAACACTAAATGCTTATGTGTTGTATCAATAATCAATAATAATATTTAACAATATGTAAAATAAAAATATAAAATTAATTTAGCTAATTTTCTGGAAAATTCTGAATTTTGCTAATAAAATTATTTCACAATTTGCTGACCAGAAATAAAGCTATTTGCCAACATGCTATGTAGGTAATATACCTACATATATATATATATATAATAATATATAAGTTAAAATTCAAATAATTAATTAAATGTTTTTTTTTTATATATATTTCGTTAAAAAAACAACATTCAAAGTATTGACAGAATATTATATTAAAAATTAGTCATTTATTGACATAATATTCAAATTTTACAATTTTTCAAGAAATACATTGGTTATATCTCTCAAAAAGATTGAAAATAAATTTCATGTTAATAACTAATGTTATTGTGTTAGATATTATTATCTATTTCTACAGCCATTTAATGAAATATTATAAAACTCTCTAAGTGCTCAAGGGATTTTTTTATTTTTTTAGAACATGCGTCCTTTTTACATTTAACGATTCGAATACAAAATAAAATTTAAAAATGTATAATATTGCATACAAAAATAAAAAAAGAGAAAATGTAATGTTTGGAATGCATACTCGTTTTTCGGGAACGTGAATTTAATCGAACAATAATACATTTTCACGTGATAGCGATAAGATTATCAGGAGTAATAAAATATTATAAATCTGTTTCTATACATAATATAATATAATATACTACCTATACGGTCTTAAAGTTTTAAATCGACGTGAGTGTAAAAATCGTTGTCAATTAATGTATCGCTGTGATTTATTTCAATACCGCGATCGCACGTCATCATCGATGGCTTAATGCGGTCGAAATAGTTCAAATATAGATGGGTACCTAAGAGAGGTCTCTTATGTATACGTACATAATATTATGCCGTATCGACGTGAATTTATAATCAAATCTACAGCCAGGTGATTTAACAACGCCCGCGTTACACTTGACATATTTAATAAGTATTGCTACTGTTATTATAATGTATAATAATATTTATATACAGAGTGGTGGTTTTTTTTTTTTATAGCAAACTAGCGATTTTCTATGCACGAAGATTCTGAATAGGTAAATTTGATTTCGGTTTCTTTTTTTTCAATCATTATAGAATCGTTTAGTAGTCTTATAATATAGGTATAATATAGGTACGATATTTAAACAGTTTCGTACACTATAAGCATGGTAGGTATATCGATAGTTTATCTGAATTTTAAATTGTTGAATCATGTTAAAATAATTACTTTACGTGATTTTATGGATGTTTTTCGATCTAAATTTAATTGTGTATCCAAAAATTTGATTTATTATTAAATTTAATGTTAGGTATGTATTAGTGTCAACATGGACGTATTTTTCAATGTCGTCCTATGCATTTTTTTTTACAATTTTTTGTGTTTTAAATTGAACGTGATAAAAATATGTATAATTGATTTTGTTGAATTATCTCTAAAATAGAGATTATTATACTGTATTGTGTCTGTTATATATTATATTAGTTGTCTCGCCTGACGTTGCTCGTACCTAAAGAAATAATAGACAAATTATCATCCGTATCATCAAGGTAACCCATAAATCAACAAAAAAAATTACAATTTTGTACTAAAAATACTTATAGCCCTATGTCACCCCTTCCCCCTTTAGGGCTTGAATACGGGAGAAAAAAGCAGTTAAATAACTTACATAACTTATGTATAATAAGGAATAAGTTATTACTGATCTAGAACATCTATGCAAAATTTAGTTCAAAATCCGTTCAGTAGTATGAGTAAGAAGTGATAACAAATATAAATCTAAACAAACTTTCACATTTATAATGTAAGTAGAATATACGAATATACACACATATGCATTATACAAGTGATAAATTTGACGTGAAATGTTCATTAGTCTTTCAGATCGCTGCCATACAGCTAATTTATCATTCCTATCTAAACTTATATCTGGTCATGTTGACTCTCCTACCCTACTAGCTAGTATCAATTTTATAGTCCCGTCCCGTCAACTAAGAAATTCTACTCCTTTTTACTTGCCTCTCTCCGCCACTAACTATTTATCTTATTTTATTCTTCTCTTCGCCATTAAATACGTTTAGTCGATGAAGACCCTAACTTTGAGTACTGACCATTATTTAAATAATATTCAACTTTTGCACCTGTTGTAGAATATTGTTTTTATTGCTTGTACTTACTATGTTTTGATTAACCAACCCGTTTTATAATTTAATAAAATAAAACATCAAACATTAAACTTAAACAAGATATTCTGGTCAACAAGTTGATGGAAATCAAAAATGTGAACCCCAAAATGTATTTAAACTAATACTTCTATCAATCTACTCGTATGTATATTTTTAATATATGTTACCATTTGAAAATCAAAAGTAAGTAGTTGTTTTACCCCCAAAAAATAATGGTAATGTAACATTTTAAAGATGCTTATTTCTTAAATTTTCCAAAAAATTTTTTTCGAAAATTAATACTTTGTGAATAATGTGTATTTTACGTTAAATTAATCACTCTATATATATCCTATACCTAAATAATTATATATTATCTTTTTTTCCGCTACTTTTGGACATTGCCAGCGGCTGCCTGTTAAAACAATGAGCCCAAATTCAGGAATTGTTGCTTTATAGACAATTTGAAGTGAATGTTTGGTTCAATTTTAGTATGAATTTAACTATAGTGTTACAGGAATAGTGTGTTTAGTTTTATATAACTCTACAGACCCCCGGAATTGAGATTAGGGGATACAATTTTGTATATGCATGCAGTTAGTATCAATTACTATCAAGAATGTGTCTATTTAAATTTTCAATTCTACCCCTACCGTTTTAATGAGTCAATCCAGTAACGATCATGATGTATTCGTTTACTGTGATCTCTGTGAATATCGAAACGAAAATGTGTAGGCAATCACACCACGTTCTTTACCAATAACTTATGTTCAAATAAACAGGTGTAGACAATGAAAATTATTTGCATCTACAAATTTTAAAATTTAACACTGATCCACGCATCTCCTCTCACGTGACTTATAATATTAATTTAACGTCTGAAGTACCACTGAAAACGTCACAACTAAACTATAATTAAATATGTGTTTTAAACTGTATTGATGAATAATGATTATAAAAACTATTGGACTTTTATTAATAATTTATCGTTAAAATCAAATTACGAAAAAAAAAACGAATTATAGAAGACTGTCAATTTCTCAAAAGTCTTGATTATATATAATCGATCATTTTTTAAATACCTTTATACGATATACCTAACATATTATTCCACTTTATATTTATGTAAACGCTTATCCAAAATAAATATCGTATTAGAGCCAAACACTTTTTTAAATACGTCGTATATAGTATTAACTATTGGTATAAAATATAAATAAATAACCTTAAGGATCAATGGACATGAAAATGTATATTTAGTCTCAAGTCTTATTAGTTATTACTTAATAATAATGTTTGCAAACAAATTTAGATTAAATAATAGACATAGGGGTATCATATGTCTTAAGCTTATGGTGTTGATGAAATCCCAGTCGAGTTACTAAAATACACAGATGTACATATTAGAAATTAATTATACAAACCCTGTAATGAAATATATCTATAGGGAAAAACTATTAATGATTTCGAGAAGATTATTGTGGTAGTATTGATTCTAAAAAAGAAAGGAACATAAAAATATGAAGAATACAGAACACTAAACCTCATCACACATGCTTCCAAAATCATCATCAAAATAATAACAAAATAACAGAATTGATAAAACAATAGAGGAAAATCTTGTAATGAAATACCGACTAAAATACTGCACTACGCGCTGTACTGCCACATTAATAATACTCCACTTCTCTCTTTTAACCAAAAATTAAAAGTGGATTACCTCATCAACTGATTAGCAGAAATCAAAAATGTCAATACTAAAATTAATTTTAAATAATACTCTATTTATGAACTTTTAATATAGGTTGCAATTTGAAAATCAAAAATAAGTAGTGATTTTACTCCCAAAAATAAAGTTAAAAAAAAAATAACATAACTATATATAAAATTGTAGAGCTACTTATTTCTTAAATATTCTAGAAAACAAATCCCAAAAAAAGTTAACTTTTCGAGATAATGAGTGTACTAACTTAAATGGATCACTTGGTGTGTATATTAATTTTTTTTTGCATAGAACGAAGCAAATTAAAACTAATCGATAAACTCGACTAATCGATGAGTGTAGAGAAATTAATTGATAATAACCTGCACTTAAACAGTTAAACAATGAGTAGATCATTAGGTATACCTAGTTTTAACTATACATTTATTGTAGAGTTTCCCTTTGCAAGACAAGAACATATTTTCCTTTCCCATTACCTCAAATTATCTCCTAAATTCTCCTTTTATTTGAATTACTTGCTAATAAGAACCGTCGCTTTTTAAATATCAGTATGTATTAATTAATTTTGGTTAGAATTATTTATAACTTCATTCTTGTATTTTTAGGCATCGGGTATGGTTATAAAACAAAACTTGAATAAACTTTATATCAAAATTCTGATATTAAAATAATTTTAGAAATGCGGAAATATTAAATGTATCTGTCCATTCGCATTTTTTTATTTCTAGGGAAAAACAAAAATACAAATAATCAATATTGACAGTTATAATTAATCTATATAAATCTGATATGTTTCAGCTCGCAGTTAACACCAATACCGAATATATTTAAGTAAGCTATATTGTATACGTTATAAAACATAATAAGTAAATAGCTAATATTGTTTTTATGAATCATTATCAAAATTAAAACAAATATTTATTTCAAAATTATTTTCCGTATTTGAATAAATATTAAATAAAGACAATAATGTCAATCAATATCAATAATCGTTATTCATTAATTGGGTGTATTTTTTTGTTATTTATTAGCTCTAGATTTTGAGCAAGGCTAGGAATTTATGTATTTTCTCATAAAAGATTTAAAAGATATTTCAATAAATCTCACGGGGTATAATTCAAAATTAATGTTCAAAATACTTTTTTACGTTTAATTAGTTTCAATATTCAGTTTTGAATATATTGGTATTTACATTTCAACTACATTTGTTAATTCATAACTAAATCTCGGGACTTATTGTACTTAAAATCCACAAAAAACGCTTAAAAACGTGTAAAAAGTACTAAAATATAAAAACTGGTAAAAGTGCTTAAAAGTCCTCTTTCTAAAGGTTAGGTTACTTATCCTAGGAAATACCGTGATATTCAGCTAGTATACATATAAATATTTGCACTAAAAATGTCACAGTCATTTAATTTATTTAATAAAAATCAATTATAACGCTTTTATTATATGTTTCATACATACTATGAATATATGACATAATTATATTAATAATTTCGCTTTGTGTGGTGTATTATACCTACGAGATTATATTTGCGTATTGTGTGTCGGTGCAGATGCAAAAAGAAACACTGTTTTAATCGGTTCGCGTCATCACCACAGGTTAATGTGTATTTTATGCATAATATAATATCATATTATACAAAACATGTGAATTTCATTTTAAAAACACGTGGTCAATCGCGTGGCACTTACAGATGGCATATATTCATATTACATATGTACATAAACGGATTAAATATACTGGTCAAAATTCCGGGAGAATTGGTAATAATAAGAAAACCAAACATAATACTTTTGCAGTTTATAATGATTTGTGTTCATTTAATTAGTACACAATAAACTAATTTTCCCATCCGATGTTACACTTGCCAATTTGATCACGTCTCCTTTTTATATTTTACCATTTAAAAGCAGTATTTAAAAAAAAATCCTTTCATAAGTTGAAATCAATAAAATAAATTCAACTTATAGCCTGTGTCCTTCCATATCATTCTTGCTCCTATTATGTAACCGTTATTTCATCCCACCTATTACTTTATCTTTTAAAAAGGGTACTCAATTTTGCCAAAATAGCTCCGAAAAAATTCCATTATTGTTCCAAAAATATCAATAAACCGGTGTCACACTAAAGTCGCCCATTTGAAGTTGAGTTTCGAAAATGCACACAGGACACATCCATCCTCTTTCTTATGTACATTTTCAGATTAATGCATGCGATAAATCAGACTGTGGCTCACAGACACTTCCTTTTGTTATGATAGATAGATAGATAAAATTTTGTTTGACAATTTAATTTTTACAAAATATTTTATTATATTAATAATATGTATACTATTGTTTCATTGGCGAATTCTTATCACTTTTTTACATGAATTAGTGTTATTATACTTCAACGGTTTCATTTTAACTATGTATTTTTGTTTCACAAATACATTTTGAGTGATCTTCATAAAAAAAAATCTTTTGTCGTCTAAAAAAAAAAAAAAACCGTGCACGTCATTCGGTACGCACGGGAAGCCTTACGAATTATTTTTGTAGATTGTCAAATAACAAGTATGTTAATTGTATAGTTTTACGCCAGGGATAGCGGACCTTTCTTTTTGTTAAATAGTAACTTTGTTCAAATTTTATTTGCTCCTCGTATCAACCAATTCAATAAAAAATGAGAGAAGTTTATTTTTTTTTGCAATTTCTTGTACCTAAAAAATTTAGAATGGAATTGAATACCAAAGACAAGCTAATAATGTAATTCTCAAATTGTTCATACAAATCTAAACTACAAATATGGCTTTTTTATATATTTTTAAAAATATGAAATTTAAACTTCAAGTACCTATACCAAACAATTTTTAAAATTAAACCTGGATATGTAAACACAATGAAAAAATAAAATAAACAAATTTTCTACCAGAAATCTTGTTTCAACAAAACTTTATAGGAACTTCGTTGTAGCATTTTTTATTTAGCTGGTACATTGGGAGATAATTTTCCTTGTAGTTTTAATACATGCGAAAAACTGGAAATCTTTTGTTTATATTTTTTTAATTTTGGATTACTTTGGCAACAAGGGAAATAATACTACTAATCATACTGTGCTCAGAATCATTTTTCATTAGAAATGGTTTATCGTTGCGTACAGATACACAAATTAAACTATTTTACATAATCTTACACCTTTTCATGTTCTCTCCTAAAATAATGGCACACAAATCGGCAGTATCAGCTTTATTTTAAATATTATTTTTACGAGGAATGATATTTTTTTAGACAGTTTGCTAGTCTCAGTAAAATAGAGTGCCATCTCTGGTATACGTATGTCATATAGTCATACAAGTAGTTAAGTCGATAGAACAGTTATTATTGTAAAACTTGCATTTTCTGATGATATAATTACTAATTACAGTATAGATTTTATGCATTTATTATAGATAACCATTGGTATTATGTATTGTGTTTCAACTAAACCAGACGAACGTTACACCTAACAATAATTGCTACAATTTAGTACAGGTACAGCTGTTATATCTGAAAATAAATTTGAATAGTTGATTAATGTCGTGACGAGGTCCTCTAAGAAAAGTTGGCCCTTTGACAGGATATAATATGGCCTCCTTTCTAAAAAATAGCCGTGCGCGAAGCCGTAGGTACTAAAGCGCGACCTAATCAAATGCATTGACGACAATATACATATAATAATTGGAGATTATTGGTGTCCTTGGTTTTAATATAAAATTCAGATCTAGACAAGAAAACTATTGTAGTGTTATAGTTTCGTATAATATTGGTGAGTGCTCTTTATTTATTTTTTATTCGGAAACTGTAAAACATGTCAAAGAATTTTGTAAACCAGGTGAAACCATGTGAAAAATCAAATAAAGTCCAGCACCAACATTATGTTTAGTTCCTATAACTCTAACTCCGCTATATTTTCTCAAACACAATAATATATCTTTTTTATTAAGTACGTTGTACGTATTAAAAAATATATAGTAACTGTAATTATATTCCAAATTTTTAGATTTTTGTTACTTATTAAGGTCATTTTGATTTTTTTTCTACGGTAGATATAATTAATCTATTTTTTTAAAAGAATGTATCCGTGGATTTAATAATTTCTATAATATAAGATTACAAATGCACTTAAAAATGTATAATGCATAAAATGTACTTCGCAATCAATAATGTTATTGTATGTAGCTAACTTCTACAGAGTGAACAATATTTTAATTATAAAGTCAAATTGCCCTTTAAGAAAGTCTACATCCATTGCTTACATGTATTTTGTTTGTATATAGTTTTATAATGAGTTATAGTCTATTTTTATAAACGTTCGTGATGTATTTTTGGATTGGCAAACGAAGTGTTGCGATTCATTGTCGTTGGAATATACATTATATACATTAGGTATATAGTGTATTGTATATCATTAAATGAGATTGTGTGTATAGGTATCTAAACCTCGTGTGAATCGCTGCAGTTCAATCAAATACGAATATTTATCGAAGTATCTACATCCGAAGAGGGGGGGGGGCGGCTGTCAGTGGCGTTATTGGAAATTTTCTCTAAAAGAAATATGTATGCTTTAATAAAATAAATTGTTTATTACATTAAATAAATATATGACACACCAAAGGTTGTTTTTAAATAGTTTCTATAAAGGCCAACTATTTTTTCACCAACTTTAGCATAAAGAGTACTATATTTACAAAAAAACTCCAGATTTCTCTTCTGAGTTAGCTATAATAAATTGAATTTCAAAAGCCTTTGAGGAGGATATTTATTACAGATACTAGAATTAGTTTTACTGGTACTGAGGATGGGTTCGCTGTTGTTAAAGATTAGAAGTTAGGAAAGTGAGATATTTAAAATATATGTCAATCACGACGTATAAAAGACGTAATCAAAGATACACTATTTCTCTTTGTGTGCTGTGATGCCCAACGTAACTTACAATGCCATTCGTGAGAAACTTATGAAATTTACAAATAACTGTCCTTAGAACTATAATAAACATTTAATTTACGATAAAAAAATATTGTGGTCATTAATCGAGCTTAATCTATCCTATATTTTAAGTTGGACCAAATCATAAACATTGAGCATTATATCTTATCAAACTCGGTTAAGTAGTTTCAGAGTGCATCACACGTAAACTCGTCGTACGCGTGATTTTTATATACCTATGTAAGAGAGATATCCTCCCTTTTATCTTCCGTCCTAAAACAGTGACACACCTATCGGAAATATTAGCCTTTTTTTTATATACTATTATATCAAACTGATAATAAATTACAAAATACGAATAAGGTCATAAGATCATCATATGAATTATAATAGGCAATCCCGTGCAATATATTATATATACTTTTCACAATAGCTGTGTAGTGATTCTGTTATGAAAACATCATGTCTACGAATTCACGTACCTAACATATAACACCCGTTAATAATGGCGTGGCTTTCATGTATCATATTAAACATTTATCACGGATTTAGCAGCGTGTTTTAATCATGGAATGAATGATACATAAAGTTCACGAGTCCTTATAATATTATTCCGCTGATATAGTTTTTTAATATCGATCGGTAATCTTTAATATTTACCTATTTATTTTTTTTATCGCTGACTACTTGTTAATAGACCCTCGTGTTTACATTGACTGTTTAATGTTTACATTATGAACCGTCTAATAAAATATAATTTATTAATATTGATTTATTTATTGATACGCGTGTTTATTAATTACTATAATACTCTTGGTTATATACTTGGAGCCAGTGTAGGGACGTCAAAAGTTTTAAAATGGGCCGAGGGTAGAGAAGTTTAATTTAATTTGATGGGACAATGGGGATGCTTGTGGATTCGGGAATGCCCTTATTTTAAATACCTAAACGATTTTAATTGCAAATTTATATTCTTTGTAGTGCGAAAGTGGGAGTTATTTTGAAAATTTAACTGTTGTCACACCCCTTTCCTGTTCACATTTAATAAAGTCAGTACTGGTGTATATTTCTGAAAAAATTCGATTACCTTTTAGACGCGTATTTATTATTACGTTTAAACAAAGATTGTGTATTCTAATCTTTATGGTTGGACATGTTGTCACTATATAATTACATATTTACAGACTTAATTATGGGATATTTATTGGATAAGTACCTTTTTCTATACATTAAAATTAATGCCTCACCTCGATAATAATGTTACCGATAGATAAAACAAACGTTTCACTGAGCTGACATTGAGTGATTTAAAATAAGTATACAATAAACATGCTTTTATTCGGTATAGGCATATAGATAGGTACCTAAAATACCTTATATACTCTATATGTTTGATCGAAAAAAAGTAATTGGATTGACGTCATGCATTATTATTATTATTACCGTTATTAAAGATCAAAGACCATATTCATATTATTATGGTGTACATATATAATAATAATATTCAAATAATATATATTTTAAATAAATAATTTTTTTACTTTTTATCGGTGTTCTTCTACTTTACAATGAACAATGTGTATATTTATTGTTTACTTACACAAATACTTTTAGACTTAATAAGTAAAGAGACTCGTAAATTATTTTTTTAGAGTCTGAGTGAATTGAAGAAACTTATAGTTTTACAAAGATGTTTATTTTTTTTTTCTGTGGACAACTTTTGTATTAAAAGACTTGCTCTGATTTTTACGTGTAGCGCCTTTTCTGAAAGTAAATCGGTGTGGGGAGGTACTTTAAGAAGGTTATTTTTCGATTTTATCAACTTTTTTCTCATCAATTGAAAAAAATCGAGAAAAAAAAATGGGAAAATGTACGAAATATATTTGTATAATATTACGATTTTTTTTTTCTGTGAACAACTTTTCTACCAGCAATTTTGCTCCGACTTATAATAATAGCAATTTTTTTGGAAGGAAATTTCACTATGGAGATACCTACTTTAGAGAGGTCATTTTTGATTTACCCCGGAGTTTTCTCAACAAATGTGAAAAACCGAAAAGAAACGGAAGAAAACCGGGAAAATAAACAATTCCTTTATCACACATTCGCACTTCATAGGTACTAATTAGTCACAGCTTGAAAACCCATAATAGCATAACGATATGACTATGTAAAATTATTATTTTCTATACTTATTAACTAACTATACTGCAGACAAATTCATCTAATTTTATATTATTTTTAGATTCGGAAGGGGATTTATTAGTTTTACTATGATGTGCGCTTTTTTTTCTGTCTGTAAACAACTTTTCGAAAAGAAATCTAGCTCCGATATATAGAGTATAAAACCTTTCCTGAAAGGAAATTTTGTCTAGTTGGTGCATTAAATGGTTCGTTTTTTAATTTTTACTATGTTTTCGAAATAATTGGGAATAGCCCGTAAGAAATGTTTAGGTAAAACGGGATATATTTACAGCGTTCACCGATTTCATTGTTTTTTAATTTTTTCAACTTATGTTTTATCCCAGGATTATTGCTCTGTCGAAAAATGACAAGAGGTCGACTTTATTTCTTTTAACACAAAGCCATTATCATATTTTTGAAATCTAAAGTAATTTTCATAATTGAGAAACTGAAAAGAAAAAAACGTAAAATGAAAACTGATGAATGTATATGCGTTACGATCTCATTATTTTTAATTTTTACGCTTTCTGTTTTCTATCAGAAATATTGTATTAATAGGAAAAAAATATAACATATTTTTTGCTGAATTTTTAATCTAGTTGGTGACCAAGAAGGTCGGCTTTTGATGTTCTCGTTAGTTTTTTAATAATGAACCAAAACCGAAAAACACGTAGAAAGAACGGGACAATATTTACGAAAATAGTTTATTATTTTGAATTTTGGTTTTGTAATATAATTCAGCTAAAGATATTCGCAGTAACTTGAAATTTTACAAATACTTTTATTTGCTTTTTCAAAACATGCTAAAATGTTTAAAACATATGAGCCATTTTTGAGCTATTCATAGACATTTTAATTTTGCTAGTGTTCCACATGATTTTTATGTAGTATGTACTCTGTAGATAAAATTATTAGACTAAACAGGAATAATTGAAAAATTGACAAGAGGTTCATTGTATATCGTGCTTAGTAGTAAAAATATTGAGCAATATTTTTGGTAGAAAACATACTGTGTAAAAATTAAAAATAATAAAATCGTAACGCTGTAAATTTTTTATTTTTCATTTTATGCTTCTTTCTGATTTTTTCCATTTATTTAAAAATAAAACAAAACTAAATATATACTCGTAAGTAGGTATTCATTTTCACACTTTACTTAAAATACTATACCTTATAATTTAGGTTAGGTTTTGCATTTCATAAGGTATCATTTTCAAAAAGCTGTCTTAGGATAATGGGGATAGGTGCAGCCACGGTTATAGGTAATTTAATATATATCTGTAAGCAACGACTAACCATTACTAAAAAAAAAAACGTTGCTTAGCAGAGTTCAGTTGATAATGTAGTTACTTTCTCAACATAGGCAATATATATGTTCTTTAAAAATATTTGTTCAATATTGTACCTATTTCCCCATTTTTCCTACATTTTTCCCGAATATCCCATTTATTAAGAAAACTAGTGATAAAATCAAAAAATGATCTCTTAAAGTACCTCCCCAGTCGGATTTTCTTTTAGAAAAATGTCTATCATTATCAATTGGAGCAAAAATGTTGGTAGAAAAGTTGTTCACAGAAAAAAAAATTGTAACATTTTCGCAATATCTTTTGTGCATTTTTCCTAAGTGTTTTTTTGGTTTTTCACATCTGATGAGAAAACTCCTGTGAAAATCGAAAAATTACCTTCCTAAAGTACCTCGCCACATCGATTTTGTTTCAGAAACGGTACTACACTTAAAAATCCGAGGAAAATTTCTGATAGAAAAGTTGTTCACAGATAAAAAAAAAATAAACATCTTTATAAAACCATAAGTTTCTTCGCTCCATTCAGAATCCAAAATTTAAAATAAATAATATTGAACAACCGGGCTAACCTAAAATATTTTTAGAAGTATGACAAAGTGAGGTTGAAACCTAATCTGCTAGTAATGGTCTTCCTTGCAGGTTTGGTCTCAAATATTTTCTACAAACTTAATTTCTTAAATCTGTCAGGTATTATTAAACGGAAATTTACCAATGTGTACACGGTGTACTTTTGGAAAATTTATAGAAGTAATCAAATCTGTAAAAGGTGTAATCCAAATTCAAGAGTCATGCTAAAAATACAATATTTATGAGATATTTTTCTGGAACACTGTGTACATACCTTAATATACGTTTAAGTATAAATTCAAAATCATCCGATTAATTATAGGTATATAATAAATTGTGTAAATTAACCTGCGTCACAGATTATGAAAAATGCATTTTTATCTTCGACAGCAGTATGTTTATGGTATTAATAATGTAAGTAAATTAGGTTATCGCTTAATTTACAATAGGTCAAAAGAAAAAAAAATCACGATCAAATAAAATATATAAGATTACCTATCGTATATGAAAAATAAAATTATTACATGATTAACGAAGTAATATAAAATAACAATTATGAACTAAATTAAAATTTTGTTTAAGTATAAATAATACTCTGTATGTGCATACAAAATTTCAATTTAATTTATTGTATACAAATATTTGAACACGCCACACAGGTATTTAAAATTGAATAATAAGTAAAACAAAATTGTTCTATTATAATATGCAGTTATACCTTAGTTTTTCTTTATCTAGTTTTTTTTTATTAGTTATTCAGGATTTAGATAAACTAATAAATTAAAATCAAACAATTTTTTTAATTTTTAAGTTATTTTTTATAGTACAATTTAAAATTCGTGTTATTTTGTTGAATTTGGATAAGTTTAATACACACTTATTATATTTCACCAACTTAATGAATACTCAAATTCCTTGACCAGATAGATTGAATCAGAGAACCGAGACTTTTTTTACAGGCCTAGTGGTATCCCTGTTCGTATTTTTCCTCATTATTTCGAATATTAATGAGAATTTCCAAAAATGATCTCTTTAAAGTACCACTTAGAGAATATTTCCTTTCAGAAAAGGTACTTAATAATCTTAGTAATCGGATTAAGCTTTCTGGTAGAAAAAAGTGTTCACATAAAAAAAAAAAAAACATTTTTGTAAAACCAATATATCATTCGCTAAACTCAGAATCTAAAACAACTTTGTATCAGAACTATACTGTGATTGTTTTTTTATATTGATACTACATTATAATAACACGGCAGCATTTGTCTACTATATACATTATATAATGCGCATTAACGCACTCGACCGTTTCATTTTTAATTACGATGATTAATGTCACTTGATTTTTTTTTTCTCATATGAAGCACGTTATTTTTGACGTACTCGAATTGTAACGATACAATATATCGGATATATCCCTATACACGCAATTCGCAATGGCATTTTATGTATAAACAAGAGCATTAAACCCGCATGGCTGTGTGCAGACAGCAGAGCTGCAAAAATAATTCGACCGCTTCGCCGTCCTAATTATTTTAATTGACGGTTGAATTATCATCAATTAATTTCCACGTATAATTGCTTCCCAAGGCCCAAAAGTTGTGTTCACGACCTTCGACCTCTGTGTGTCACACATGTAATATCACACTGTGATGTCAATATTTAAATTCTTAATTGGTTAGTAAAAAAAAAGGAAATTAATTTAGTTTTTAATTCTACGCATTATTACAATATCTATTCCGATAGCCGAAAACAAATTCAAAATTCGTATACACACATATTATATTATAATCCGTAGGTATGATCTTAATTTATCTGTAATGACACACGGATAGCATCGGTGTTATTCCTTTCTAAATAAGAAATCTTTAATGACTTCACTGATGATATAACGTTAAAAGTTGGTTGAGATGTTGTGATAGATTTGCTATGATTGCTTTTCATGCCGTCCATTCCGATAACATTTATGTTAATTAATACTCGATAACATCTGTAGTAGTTCACAACATGCACACTCCGAAAATCATGTTCCTTTAATTGTGCATATGGTGCTAACACATATGATAACTTGTATAGCATCCCGCTGATGCTATTTTACTTTCCGGTTTTTATCTTCAAACCAAATGTGATTTAATTTTCAGAATTTAGCGATGAAAAAATAATTGAACGAGCTATATAATTAACTAATGCATCAGAAAACTAATAAAAATAATTATTTCAGGGCTCAGGGGTATCAGTACGAGATGGACGAGCTAGCACAACCATGTTGATCGAAATAACATACTTTTCTGAAAAATAATTGTTTTTTTTGCCACGAGACTCTACATTATTGCAAGTTGTTACATATTATAATCTAGTGATGAATGCAATAGGTAACTTCATTGATTCGCATACTGATTTAACGTGAGAAATCGACAATAGAAAATTTAATTTGAAAACCGTAGATAATTAAAATGTATGACAAACATAAATAGTATAATATATAATTTAGTATGTAGAATATCTTCTCGTCGATTTTTTTTATATTACCTTCCTATTCGTCAATCATATATCATGAATCATGAATCAGGATGAATGATTCATACTAGTTATATAGTAAGCAATTATAGGAGGTAGAGTTAAAACATCATGAGATTAAGATTGCTGAAGTATATACTCAGACGGGGAGAAAGATATAACGGTCAGGGTGAGAATTGGAAAACGAAATTAGCATTCTACTACCATAGATTATCACAGAAAATGTAAAATCTGATCATGGTTTATTTATGGCTGACAGGTCTACGAACAAGAGTTATAAAGGTATTTTTCGATTTGTTCTGAAATAATATACTCCAAGTAAAATGAAAACGATTTACACCATCATGCTATTAAAGAATAGTTACGTTATTAAATGTAAAAAATTTAAATATTAAACAAATATGTAAGTATAATATTAGAACGATCACATAATGCTTGTTAACATGTTTGCTAACAAACCAACGAGATAGCGATTTTTGCTAAATTTTTTAATGAGATTTAATTTCTTTATTTACCTACTATATTTTATTATTTCAAAATTTTAATTTATTTTTCTTGGACATCTTTCGAAATTATATTATACAAGTGAACAGTTCTCACTATTACAAAATATTGTATAAAACTGATATTGATTTTTGAATTTTCAAAATGGCAACGACTTGTAAATTCGATAAAATTAAAATGTTGGACATGTCAAAAAAGGTAGATAGATAGGTATAATAAGTATAGCTATCTAATACCTAATTTTTTTATTAGTGTTACGACTAATATTGAAGTTTAAACCGTTGCAGGATAAATAATTAATGTTAGAATCGGGGTGAACGTACTGTTGAAACGTTCGCACGGTGAATGAATAATGCGTCTACTGTACAACACCGGTCCATTATTCCAGTTGTTACCTTTAAATCAAAATTAATGGAGCGATTCTTATATAATTTATACGAATATTACATCAATCAAATTTCGAACAAACCGTCTCTTTGGGAATTTACAGTATAAATACTTCTGTGGTTAAAACGACACTTATTCTGCAGTTTAATAAAATATTTTATAACAATTTTTTTTTTTCGAAATTATTACTCAAGTATTAATATAATTATTATAAATAAATAAATGTGAAACACATGGGGATGAACTATCGTGCCCACCCTCTTTTGCCCCTTCATCAACGCACCCGACGATTATGTAAAAGCTGACGTATAAGTTTAGGTATATTATTACGGTTAATGACAAATTAAAAAATCGAGACGATTTGTATGCATTTTCGACTGGGTATAAGGACTATAAGTTTAAGTATAACATTTTGTTTTCATTAGGTATTGTAAGTATTGACTGAATTATAATATTATGACCTCCAAATTTTTACAATCGTTACATAACATTTGTTTATAAATAGCTACCGACTATCGATAATCTACAAACATTATACTGCTATAGTATATATCGTAAGCATACTAGTAGGATACTTTCACAATAAGATCTATGCCGATACATACGGTATCAGGAAATTACATATAAAACTATTTATCATTTTTACTTACCTAATATTATTATACCTAGCGTTTTTTTTAAAAACTATTTTATCATTTACGTTTAAATTTGTATACAGTTTATGAATTCAATTCTATAACAAAATATCTATTTGTTGTAAGTATAATATACCTATTGGCTATTATAATACTAACTAATTTGTATTCTGTTTGGTAAGTTTTGTATTTTGTATTATATTTTTTTTTTATGAACAATTTATTATAGGGCATTAACTATATAGTTAATAATTATTTATCAAGGCTCTTTATTGTAGGTATGTATGTGTTTGGTGGATATTAGTTATTAAACCGTCTAATTTCCTGTTCTATTGCCGTAATTATTATTTAAATCGAATTAACAGAGTTTATAGCATTATAAGTTATTATACTCGTGTAATTATATACCTATATTGAAATCTATAATTAATTATTTAATGAGATGTGATAATGAATAAATTTGCATTAACTAAATAAACTACATAATATGCAGCCTGCTATGTAAATAATATTAGTTATTATTATTGTACACATTTTGTTGATAATACAGTAAGTTTTGCATTTATGATATTTTAACAGTATTTCAGATTTATAGTTTTATCTACAGTTAGCTCCAGTAAAGTTTTCTATCAAAGCACATATTTTAGTCAATATCGTAATGGTACAAAAATAAAAAACCAAATAAAAAAGCTGACATACTTTGTACTATGGGTGATGGGCCGCTGTTGTAGGTGGAATTTCGAAAGTTAGGATATATAGCATAAATTAATTTATATCTTTATGCAACAATAAATCACTGCAAAAGAAATTCCGAGCGAAATTTTTTTTATATACATGCACGTAAATATTCCCGTTTCCTTAAAGTACTACCCAGATAAAATTTCCTTTCAGAAAAGGTACAACCCTTGAAAATCGGAGAAAGATTACTGGTAAAAAGGTTGTTCACAGATAATAATAAAAACAAAATAAACATCATAGTCAAACTAACGCTAAACTACGCTTCGAATCTAAAAATAAATGATTAAAATCGTTCGTGTTTTTAAACGAATATTGTAGATATGTTAATACCTACAATTGAACTTATAATATTGATAAAAATAATTAGTAAAATTGTTATCCATTCAAAAAATATTAAATATAGCCTCTATTAAAGTCATTCAAAAAAACACTAGAATTCAGGTCTCTACGAATAATTTTTACTGAATAACAACAAAATCGAATGAAACAGAAACCTTTATTATGTAAAATTTCACTTTCCTTTACTTTTTCTCGATGTACCCAGAAAGAAAACCACAAAAAATATATACATATCAATAAATATGACCGCCTTCTATACTCCAATAAAATTCGCTACCAGAAACCACTCCAATATTGATAACTGGAGCAAGACTTCTGGTAAAAGATTGGTTACAGACCAAAAAAAAATACATTCCTAGCTACACTAAAAATTTAAAAACAAGCAAATTATATATCGTAATAAAATCAAAATAAATAGATAATAAAACAATATATTATAATAATAGAACATTTTGTTTTCATTAGGTATTGTAAGACCGTTAATACTGTATTCAGTATTATACCTATATACATTATAAAACTGTGAGCATAAGGAATCATATAATTAATAATTTTATTATATTTTATGAATACTCAATGTTTGTATAGGTGATTATTTGTTGTTTTCAAAAGATGCAGGCTATCCTTCAGCATTATAGTGTAATTTGTTCTATGTAATTCTAGTAAATAGTTTATTTTATTTCTATGAATACGGGACGAGCCCAAATAAGATATAGTTTAACTAAATCTAAACTATCTAGACTATAATTATTCTAATAGCTAAATGTATACTATCAACAAGAAAGAAGGGAGTCTAGAAGCTGTTATTAAATGAGGGATCATAGTTGACGGTGTGCATAAGGCGGATAAGTGAGGAGTTTTCATGAAAAGAAACCGGAAGGTAAGGAATATGAAAAGGCACAGATGAACGAGTGAAGCGGGAAGAGACTAGAGGAAATTACTGATAGAAGACTTGGTGAATATCAGTTTTTCCTGTACGAATATTAGATAAGAAAAAGCCCGTCCTGCGAAACTAGAAATATAAAGGAAACTTTGGACTGGGGAGGAGGGTAAGGGATGTTATGTCTTAGAACGAATATACGAAGGAAGCGTCTCTGATCCCATTCAACCATAGTACTATAATACGTAGTAGAGGGATCCCAGAGAATATTTCCTTGATAGTGTTGCACTGTTGCTTGCAAATTTGCTTTCAACGAACAAAATACATGTTACTTTTCGTGGTTTTAACCATAGCTAATATATACAATATCCATACATAAATTACCTATGGTTATACTATTCCGTGTTATTTACACGTTATACCAAACTATGTAAACAAAATACAAGTTTTACCTATTAAAAGAAAAACAATGATTACTAATTGTGTTGGTAATATAACTACACTACAGTATACCATTTTGGGTTAAGTATGAATAGGTACATTTTGTTATTTAAATTAATTTTTCTATTTAAGTATACATTAAATACATTATTTAAGAAAGATTACCTATTATATTATAAGCGATAATAATTAACCTTAATAGGGCAATATTATTTTATAGGTGACCTTCATACTACTAAAATGTAGATACCTCGTTCCATGTGCCTAATAATAAATTGGCAAGTACACATTTTTTTTTTTTAATTTTCTTTTAAAAAAAATAAGACACTTAAAAGTGTTAAACAGCTTTATAAAATACTTAAATTCATAATACTTAAGAGTTTCGTATCAATTAATTTTATTTAAATCGTTTAAACGTGTATTTTATCTTAAAATGATAATACATTATGCAACTAGATATAAAAAATAATTAGTATTTAATAATATGAATATCAATGACATTTATTGTTATACCTACAGCAATCAACAGATATATTCTTTGAATATTAGACATGACTAAAATCACGTAGGCATTTTTACAATGGCTATTGATTTCATAAAATAATTAGTAATTACAGAATCAGAATTATACACGGAAGGCGAACAACTTGCCTAATAAAAAAAAAAAACTGCAATAAATAATCATAACAATACATTATTGTTTAATAAATATTAATAAAATACATAAATAAACAAATATTAAATAACAATATTATTCATTCGAATATAATTAATGCAATTACCTATAATATGATCTATATTCTATACTATTCTCCTATGAGAATACTATGTGTATACGGAGAATATTTTAAAACAAACTCCTGCAATAGCCAATAGGTACCAATAGGTAATTTTATTCTATCGTGTCTGTTAAAAGAACTGTCCCAGTATTGAGAGGTATTTCGAAGCTCTAGAGTTTAGATAAAATACTGTAGCGAAAACTAAATACAAAGGTACCCTGTAGTGGTGGGGCAAGAGGAGGCAAT